CTTAATTCCGAGTGCAGTAGATTTCCACACTGATTTCAGATTAACGAAGGTCTGTCTTACTTTTCCGATCCTGAGTTTGACATCATCCAACCTGTTCCACCTATAGTTGAAGCCACGCTGTCCAGATAGGTGAAATGAGTGATTTCCTTCAAATTTACCCAGTTGATAGTGACTGATGCCTGTCGTTGCTGTAAGTGGTTAGGTATCTTCATCACTTCCAACTTCTTCGTCTTCACTTGAAGTCATGTCTTCGCTGCCTGCCTCTTCTGAAAACTTCTTGTTTCTCCCCCGTAGATATCCGAGTTTGTGTGATACTAGACATAAGTCATCCGTGAAGTTCAAACCTTTTTGTCAGTCCAACGTATTCCTATCTTTTCGCTCCCGACAGTCAAGTAATTTAAACACATTATGTTACGCTTCCAGACATTTTATATTGATCCTAATAGTTAGGGATGTGTTCGCCCATTTAATTCACGCAAGGCAGGAAAATTCTTTAGTAGTTAAGTGGATGAACTGTTGGTACCTAGAAAAAAAGAGCAGAATCATGTTTGACATAAGTTACATCTTATGTGTACTTCATTAATATCAACAGTTGTCCAACGAATTTAGTGAAAATGTCAACTTATTCTTAAAACGGAATAAATCCACATATATTTATGGACTAACCAATGACGATTACACTTAATTATTCCGATAAACACCAGGTCAAGTGTTTCTTCTCAAAGACCCCTGGTAACTGGTGACGACAAATAGCAGAATATGTATCTGCCGTAGCATTTAACACTTCAACCAACATTTAGGTTAAGAATACCTAGCCTTCAATGCGGTTGATGTTATCACGATACTCTCACAATGTACTTGTGGTCGTCGTCTAGGTGCTGGCAACAGATTATTGACTATATAGTTAACAATTTGGTGAATCCACTTCTATTCTATCTACTCTCACAGATTTCTAGCTGTTAGGACAGATAAGCTTCTTTGCTAGTCGTGAATTCATGATTTATATATGCACTGATATGATAACCTGACTGGACAACCTTTGGTTCGTCTATTTATGACTTATATTCCTTAGGTTTTGTAGATAATGATATATCAAGTATTTTGCCTAATGAACTATGTCACAGTTAATCTGACTTTTATGTTTATTTCAGAGTGGTTAGTTGGTCATGGTGTAGTGTCTGGAGGCGCATTTTGGTCAAGTTAGACAACCTAATAACCGCAGAACCACTTCTTTATTATATACTTGGTGACGGGGTTATTCAGTTCCGTGCAGCTGTGATATATATTAGCAAAATAAAATTAACATACTTAGCTTGTTCACTAGATCCAAGTTTATGAAGGAGAACACAAAGTATCGCTGATGTGCGTCTAGTTCGCCCAATTTCAATTAGAATTTTTCAAAACTTCAAACCCTGAATCATAAGTAATCTCGGTATCTGCACCATAATTGAATTCTGTAAATGACTTGAGAACAGACTCAATTTCCTCTACACTTTAACTAATGACATTTCCTCGTTTTGCACAAATAGTGTCTTAACTAGATTTCGAAGCACTACTGGGATCCAGATTCTCAATCTGATTTTTCAACATCAATTAGTATGTTTTTATTTGAACCAAGCTATGTGAAATATGTATCATCAATTGATAAATTGTTCTCTGCTTCCGTTGCTAACTGGACAGCAGATTCAACAATTTCAGTATGGGGATGAGAAGATGATTGCTAAGATTATTTATTAGTGAGCATTTTGATCAGTTTAACTTGTAAGGCTTAGTACTGCTTCTGTTGCTGTGACGGTAATTGAACTTGCCCAAAACTGAAGGACACGATTAAGTACTTCTTCAAAACTTCGCATGACTTGATACGATACTGGGTTGTAATAAAATTTGAGATTGTTTGCACTGAACTGAATAACCACGTCACCAAAATATGTTATGATGGAGTGATGTAATATAATAGAATAGCATGTGTCGATGGCAGGTTTGGTTGCACAAGACACTTCCGGTGTCCTTGAAAAATGACCACTCATAGTAGTGAGTTTATTAAGGTTAGTATTATTATTATTACCAAGTTGGAGAATCGCAATACAATTTTCTAACTGTAATGATATTTTGTCTTGTTAATTACTTTTAATTCGACCTTCAAACGATGCTGTGTTGTTTATTATTCGTTCATTGGATTGCGTTAGATGTCGCAATTTGTCAGTAGTTGGAATTAGTGGGCCATTGGATCGAGTGCCCTTTGGGTGAACGGTCTACAAGCTTGCCTCATAGCTCAAGGGTCTAGGATGCGAGCCCCAGTTTGTGCATATTGCCAGAGAGTGCGAAGACGCGACGAAACCGCTGTCCAGTACTCCATAGCTTTCAATGTTTCTCTAGCTGACATCAATCCGTGATCAAACTTGAAACAAAAAGTAACGCACATTGAAATAGTTGCTGGAGGGAGGTAGTGAAAGTTGAAAAGAATTGCAGCACTCCAGCCTTATGCTCTTAAAAGATTTTATGCTCAATATACAAATTGCCACAATAGCGTAAATTGCACCGTGACATCTGCAGCAAAAGCCATAATAATTATGAGAAGAGTGTCATTACTCGGGCGAAATTATGCACTCCAAACAAACATGCCGTGAATTCACACTACATCGATAGAGACTTGCGATTATCCTAATGTATATATATTGATTATTTTGCATTGTTAATGATAATCATCCCGGTGAACATAGCCTGATGAAATCTCTTAACTTCCCAATCAATTTACAACGTAATCCTACCTTATAAATGGATTCCCCACTGCTAGATTTTATTGGGCCAAAACGCTCAAACACTGTTATTACATCGGCTTCTAGAAAAGACACTTCAATAATATCCTAAAGGATAATATGATGCCATTGGGTTGATAATGGTTAACCATGGAGTCCAGCATGTTTATTTCGTCCTGTTTTGCAGATCGTCATCCGCATGTGAATATATCTCCAGTGATTGATGTTATTCTCATTAACAGTCGAACTTACTACCCATCGGTTTGAGAGCCGAGTTATCCACTGGATTTTTGAAAGAATACGTGTTGAGTTTGATTCTCAGAGGGAACATCACCGCTCACAGAAGATGCGGATACATCGAGCTGACGAAGCGCAAGAAAATGACACACGCATCCTGGGATTCGTTGCAAGGTCCCGTCAGACTAATGAAGTAAAGTAGTACTAATAATAAAAAATATAATGGGCAATAAGCTTATCTGTTTCGTTATTTCTCTTATCCCAATACATCAATTGATGCGCATACTATACCATGTTAGCGTTTGAAATGGAAATTACACAACAAAACAAAACATCAAGGGATCACAACTCTAACACTTGCATTGTATGGGAAACATTATTATATAATGTCCGATAAAAGCATTCACCCCCTTATACGTGATATGATGAAAACAAGTGTATAAATAAACACGTATCACTACAAGAGGCAACCGATATCTCTCTTGACCTATCAGCTCACACACTGGATAAAGCTTGACATCGAAAGCTCAACGACAACACAAAAGCATTCACTCGAATGAAAGCACGTTTAATCACAAATATTGGTGAATAGGAAAGAAAAGATGATTCCTGGACTTTACTGCTAGCCACTACTCTATTATCGTCAAACAACAGTGGTGTAATAACACCAAAAGTATGAAAATGTTGGTTAACTAGTATTCGATTCACATATTATTGTTTGAGAATATATATTATTGTAAATCAGACATTTGACTGTAGCATGGGTTTAAGGGTTAGGTTAGTGGATTTTTACTGATACGTCCTAACGAGTCGAAACAAAGCTTTGCATCCTGAAGTAGTCACTTATTTCTTATGTAAAATAAGTAAGTCAATAACTGTAATTTCTAGTGATATTATCTATTGCATGGAGAAATTAATATTTGCGTACTCAGTCAGTCTTTTGTATCTTTCTCAGTGTGAAAAAGTAGATTGAGTGATCAGTTGAATACTGTTGTGGTTGTTGCCACGTTGAAGTAACAGTAGCACGAACCCGCAATCTAGTATCATCTCTGTCATAACACAATCGTCGATCCATCCTATCACTGCAACCAACACAGATGATAATCACATATAAAAGCCTCAGTGAGTAGTTTTCAACAATTACAGACTACAGTTCACCCCATTTCATTAGGACGGAATTTCACACTCCACATGTAGAAAACAAATCTTTCAAATACTGATGTGTTGACTTACAAGAGACAGACCCTTCCCATCTGTTTTCCTTAAAAAACTACATAAGCTTATTCCACATAACAAAACACCTTCTAAACAGCAAGTACAAACCGAAATAATAATCAATAGCTACCGCCGCTAAACGACCTGGTACCACTGAGAGTGGGTAGACTTCGGTCCTCCGCTCTCAATCCATTGTCATGCGTTCACAGACTCTGCCTAATAAGTCATATTCAGTGCCTTCGTGTGGCGGGAGTGCTATCACAAATGGGAAAGAGTGAATGCGAACATCTGGGGCTTACAACAAGACTTGTAGACATGCTGGTCTACCTAGGGGAGCTGGGAAATTCTAACCTGTAATACACATGGGTACTAAAGTAAGAACAGAGTGAATGGCGTATGAACCTATTTTGATCAGGGAATATTCAGGGAAATGCCGTCCTGCTGGCATCTGGATCAGACTTCAGATGAAAGGCTGAAGGATGTGGCTCCTTAAGAAAACCAGTTCCTTCCGTCTCAGAGTCAAGACAGCAGTATCCCAGCCCTTAGCACAAACTATAAGATTTTGTGTGTTACACATCTCTTGGTGCCCATAATCTGCCAAGTTTATGTTTCAACAGATAATCAACAACGATGATTATTATTTCGTATATATATGTAATGAAAAAAACTTATGGACATTTTGCACAGACTAAAAAAGGAGGAATAAGTGACAATTCAGAATATGAATTTTCGTCTCAAAAAATTGGAGGGGGTAGGGATAGGCGAAGATAATGTGAACTATATATATACGCGCATCACTATTCATACAATCGAATACATAACAATAAAAAAAACAGATGACAAAATTTGCATTCTTCCACTATCCACCTTTTGATCAGAAGATAAAAGTTGGAAGAGGAAAGCACGCATACACACACAGAGACAGAAGTAAAGAGTGAAGAAATAAAAGAGCATTAAGGTTCAAGGTTCCAAAAAGCCTCTAGAGGTCAGCACGTGTTCGTACATGTATATGAGTGTAATTATAAGAACGAGTGCACATTCCCACAGATGCGCAGATCTTACAACCAGAAGAGACTCATCCAAATGATAAATGTAAAATAAATCTCAATTACACACATACATCTTGAATAAGTAGTAGACTTGTCTTTTTGCTCAACAAGCAGCACCAGCGATGCTGTACACAAGCATCCTCGAACAATAGAGCAGACGAAGATAAAATTAGTGAAAATAAATAACTATTTGATGAAAAGGTGTAAAAAGGATTGAATAAGAGAAAAATAAAAAAGAGTACATGAAGCAATATGTCAGTATTAAGAAATAATGCATCATTGTAGATTGGGAGATAATAAGAAAATTTCACGTGCAACCTACACTCATCTAGGCGCATATTAGTAAGCTTGAGATAATTAGAATAACAATTCTCCCCTTAAAAAGCTTGCACAGAAAAAATAATAAGACATCAAAGTTAACCTACATTACACAGAGAGAGCACCACAGACAGCAGAAGCCTACAGATTTACGCGTATAAACGAAAGTATGCGTGTGTGTGTATCGAAAAGAAGGAAAGACACTAATAGACACAAATACACGTACGATTAACACAATGATTACGATTAAACAGTATTCTTATAAAATGACATCAATTTCCCTTGTATTCATTTAAAAAACAGCGAGCAAAGAGAGAGAAGGACAATAATAAAGGAACACACACGATGAAAACTCCATCGAAGAGGGGAAAAAGATAAAAGATTCACAGTAAGTGAACGCGGACGCACAAGGACACCCAAAGTTACATCGCTTGTAAAAACAGCGGAAGTTTTTGAAGAAATAATGATCACGTACGCACTGTCACGCACACATACACCGAAAAAGAAACAAGCATATCTATGATGATAGGTAAGGAAGTAATGGAGAGAAATTAGAGTTAGTGCTGACAAAAAGTGTGAATGGTTTCACATAAAAAAGATAGAAGTAATGGTTGGAAAAAGACAACAAGAGAGGATAAAGTGTATTCTCAAAAATAATTCAATTCAATCAGCATAACAAAGCTATTTACATGAAAAAACTGAGTATATATAGATAGATACATATACATATGTATTATACTATAACAATAATGAGTGTGGATGAAATAGGCGGAAACTATCCACATCGAAAATGTCTCCCTCAAAAAAAGCATAAGAAGAGAGAAAGTGTGAAGAAAGAAATCCGACCTGTTAACTGACAGTATAAATAACAATATGACAATATAGTTGACATTCTTTTTCTTATTAGTATTATCTATCCTTAACGATTACGCCTAACATCTGATGATACTGACGAGGAGGATGAAGATCCATTTGTCCCTGTCATCGTTGGTTGATTACCACCACCGCCGCCACCACCACCACCACCAGTACGTGACGTACGACGTTCATTCGGCAGTGCAAGTGTATCGGATGGATGCGTGTATGTTAACCGTTGATGTGAAGGTAAGTGTAAAAAGAATGGATGTGTCAGGGCTGCAGACAAAGGAATGCGATCCGCTGGATCATATTCTAACATTTTAGACATTAAATCAAACAGATCTAGTGTATCTTGACTTTCATCTTTACAATAACGCTGTGAGAGAAAAAAACAATTAAAACATAAAACACGATTAAATTGAAAGGTAATAAGAAATTATTGCATAGTTGAAGAAGCAAAATATACCATAAAAAGTTAATTTATTTAATGTTCCCCAAGAACTTCATTTTTAGTCGTGGAACTTTCATTACCAGACTTACTGATATCTTCAGATGAAGCTGAAGAAGAACTCCGCAGAACTTTCCCAATCCCCATCCTCAGCTACAAATTCTCACTGTTTCTTTCGTAAACGCAGTCAATTTTTCGGACTTCAACTCGCCTACATTTTCACGGCACACTCCATTGGCGCAATCCCAACACTGACAACTACATTGAAACTTATTTGTAGTAATAATTAATCGAAGTATAATTATAGGGAAACCTTTTTTTAAACACAGCAATAGCCAACATAAAACTATTTACAGCTGACTGATATGGTTAGTTGAATACCACTCACATCAACCAGCAGTGCCTGCTAGCCAGATCAAAGTGATCTAATCACTACATATTTACTACTTTATTTTCATTACTTTCGTTCTCAGTGAAACATAGGACTTCAAAATTTATCAAAGTGTCATTAGTGATAGTGTTGTCTCTTTTAAGGAGTGGAATAGCTATTCTCATAACCAACCTTGCCTTTTTCCGGGCTTACTAACTGGTATGCGAGGTTTGGGAGTTCATCCGGCGGAAATCCAACCAGCACCTCCCATTGACTGGCAAGCATTCAACCGATGAATGATATACACTAGATTAAAATCGATTTTGACCACAGAACTATAGTTTTGTTTCTTTCTCTTTTTCTCTCTTTATTTCACATACAATAGGAACAATAGTTGCTTCACGCAAGTGTTAACAGAAGCCAGACTAATACAAGTCAAAGGTATTACAAAACATACTGTCTGTATGTTCGAGGTGTTTTCTATTTACTATTACTGTTTTAGTGACCACAAAATTTATCAAAATAGTATTTCAAAGCAAATACAAGCCAGCCAACGTCAAAACAAAACATGATTGTAAAAAAGAGCACATAACGTAAAAACGTAGTGAACGAATTATACACCATGTAATGCAACTGCAACACGTATATGCGCATTTCAACACACTCAGACAAGCAAAAGTAAACGTTGTTTTGCTGATAACAAAGGCATAGTAATTACGTAAAAATAGGAAGAAATAGAAACATAACCAAAAAATAGATGTAATTTACCCGAAATGGACGACAATGTGTCATGACATATTTGGCTTCACGTGATTGTGCATCCCACAAAAGGTTGCCAGATGTATCAAAATACTTGGTTCGACTGTATATAATACATACACACAAACGCATATCGTGTATGATTTTAATAATATATTTGCATAGAGGCAAATGTGTGTGTGATACGTGTATTTACGTTGTTGATGATTATCGTCATAGGCATGCACGGACACATTAAGAGAGATTGATCACGGTAATAGGCAAACAGGAAGTAGATAGTGAACCATAGAGGGAGATCGGCATTATCCGTTATAGTCAGAAACAGGTATAGATACACATATGTTTGTTTGTTGGTTTGTGTTTATTGTTTAATTACACAGAAGTCATAGTTTAGAGAATTCAATTAAAAAAAGCAAGGCAAATAAGAAAAAGAGTTAATTTTAGATAGACAAAAACAGAGAGATGCATTCAGTGAATTTAATTACATGCAAATATACATTATATTATATTCCCTAACTGAGGGAAAATTCCCGTTAAAAAGGAAACACCAGTTATCTGCGTGCAACTCCAGGTAAAAAAGCATTGCATTTCTTCATTTCATATATCATTTAACACGATGCAACATGAAAAGATGTTTCCTAATGAGTTTTAGTTATCCCACCTCACGGAGAGGGAAGGTAACTGACTTGTAATACACAGCATGCTCATAGACAATGCATAGATGTATGTCTCGTCAGTCAGGCATAACTTACAAGCAATGGACGACAATTCTCACGGACATAACGACCTTCTTGATTATAGAAATCCCAATCCAAACGTCCATGATAGAAAAACCCAGTTCTAAACAGAAATGTATGAGCATGATGTGTAAGGCGTGTTTATAGTACTTCATACATAATTTTATATATGTTTCCACAGTACTACCTCACTATTCAGCTAACATGAAGCATAAAATAACTGCAGGACTTGTTATAAACTCAGTTTAAAGCCACTGAGATTGTGAATACTATATAGAAGATGTATAACTGTAGTTCTACATATGTTGACCTATGCAATATGAAAATCAATTAGGGACGATATATATTACATATAGGGTGAAATGCATGAATTGGAGTTTATAATACATGGAACAATTGATCATATGGCACTATGCAACAGCATAAGAAGACAAACGGTAATATTCCACCCACAAGGATTAACAACGCACTGGATTTATGAAAAATTTTAATGTATACATCCTACTTAAAAGGAATAAAAGCCGAATAGAAATTTTCACTTTTCCGCAAATACATCCTCGAATGTATAACAAAAAATTACTGGGTCAACAATTAAACAGAATTAGTTAATGCAACAAGTAAAATTAAATGTTACCAGTTGGCGCTAATGAACCACACGTATCCTGTGTGTGTGTGTGTGAGGGCAAGTGATACTACCTGGCTGTGGAAACCACTGCAAGTGGAACGGCGTTTTCACACCCGCGACCCACCCACTAGTTGAAAGTTCAATTCAGACACCAATAAGCTACAACTCCACACAATAATGCAGTGGTAGTATACTTCATTTCACAGCCTGTTAGATAAATAATGTAATGAAATATAGTAACCTATTTTTGTTGAAGAAAGCATTCCCTTCAATCACACACCCCACCCCCAACACTTGAATAAATCAAATCATAAACAGAATATAAACAACAAAACAACATACCGTGATTTTCTAGTCATCCGATAAGGAATATGGCCTAAAGTACGTTCCATCATAGCTAAATGTTCACGGTTATCATGTGTCTAGAAAATAATTATGTTTTAAATATAAAACAAAAACACGAAATAATCTCTGTAAATCTTTAATAATTCATTCTGGAAAACTCTTACAGAAGAGAAAGAACTGTGTAAAAGGAAACATAGCTCTATGCTTAGCCACCGTTACCGAATAGATTACGAAAAGCCTCTAGGTATCGAACATACTCCACAAACAGTAGACATGCCAGTGTAATTCACTTGAAATAACTGGAGGTGTGTGGGCAAAAGAAAGAGGTTCAGTCAGTATTGCTTTACCCTGGCCCTTCTGTGGAGTCTACAAATACATACATTCTACATTATTTTACGTAACTTTAGTGTTTATATAGATTGTCGCTCACAGATGCTTTTGATTCGATGTTATTTAAAGAACATTAATATTGTCAATGACAACAATAATTCTTTGATCATTATGGGTGAATACAAATGTAGGATCTGGTGGAGAAGTTATCGCAAGGAATATCCGTTGTTCACTAATCCCATCTTTTAAATTTGTTAATCAGCATGTTTAATCGGTCGGTCGGTCGGTTTTCGACATAGAACTTTGCACATATGTGAGGCAGTTCAAGTCGCCACACTCCCTCCTTGTAGCACACAAAGCGAGAGAAGAATGTAGAAGAAATGCATAATATAGACAGTAAACAGAGGTGTGAGACAAAGGAATAGTAATAACGGAGAACAAAACAGTTTAATTGGAAATCATAAGTCACAAGGAGTGGATGCATCTGCGCCACTGAGAACGATTTTGAGCCATGTCACCAATTGTTTCCAACCATTGGTTTTTACCGTCCCGAGGACCCCAACCAGTCTGGAAGTCTACACCTCCCTACGTGACTTAGACTAACTGTTGTGAATTCCATTGACTGGTGCCATGTTTTCGTTTGACCGCCGCTAGCTCTTTTCCAGCCTGGCCCTATGTCAGCTAAAATTGCCCGTCGAGGAAGGCGATGACTAGGCATACGTAACACGTGTCCCAACCATCTCAGTTCGATGTAATTTCACAGTTTCGTCGACTGATTTCCCCGCCTTACCTAGCACTCGACTGAAGCCTAACCTCAATATTGCTCACCTTATCATACCACTTCACGCGGGAGATAGAACGCAGACACCTATGATCGAACACAGATAATCTTTTCATGTCTTCTGCTCTCAATGGTCAGGTCTCACAGCCATAAAGGAGGACGGAGCGGACTGTTGAGCAGTACACACGCCCTTTGGTCGATAGTCGGATATCACGTCTACGCCAGAGACGGCGCAAACTGGCATATGCGAACCTAGCCCTGTGTATTCGTGCTGAGATTTCGTCTGAGATCAACCCGTTGGGGTTGATGGTACTTCCCAAGTAAGTGAAGTGGTCAACGCACTCTACCACTTCACTTCCTATTTCTAATCTAGGGGTCGGTGAAGTCCAATCCTGCAGCATCATCTTACATTTTACAGGGGCGAATCGCATGCCAAACATACGAAGATTGTTGCTCAAGGTGTTCAGAAGACTCTGCATTTTGTCAGCGTCCTCGCCTAGAAGGACTATATTGTCCGCATATTCTAAGTCGACAAGATTATTCCCTGGTAGCAAGTCAATCCCTGAGTCGCTGAAGTGTGTTAGGGTTAAGTCCATTAATACGTCTATGATGAAGTTGAATAGGAATGGGGATAATGGGCATCGATAAATCGATTAAAGTGTAAAGTTAGAGTTATGCATGTCATTCAGCAGTAGACAGCATCATCAACAGATGGTCAGATTATAATTAGGTGATAAACGCAGGTGAAAGCATTTCTAAGGAAAAAATGATGAATAATCTTTCCCAGTAAATGTTTACAGCAAGAAATCTTATCTCGTAATGGTGTGGAGTTAACGACAACTATTCATAGGTTTTTATGAAGTTACCGGTTTTTTCTCGTCATGATTATTAAATATGTCCACCGTTAGAAGATAACAGAACACTTTTTTGGTATGACGAGAGTTAGTTAGATATTAGGAGAATATATGCATATACATATAAAAGGATGCTTACCTGAAAAAGCGTATAACCAGTGTACAATTCAAACATTATACAACCAATAGACCAAACATCACATGGTTGAGACCAACCTAATTCTACACATTGGAAAACAAAAAAGATATTGGGGGAAATATTAGAGTAACAATGAAAGATAGTCATTATGAAATTAACTGTATTGAAAAAATAAGACACTTCCGTACATAGAATTCCACAATAATTTTTAAAGTTCCATGAGGGATTAGTATCGATTAGAAAACCATTGGAAAACAAAAGAGTACTGGACAGCTGGTACGTTTTAGTCTGACACTTCGGTAGTGTGCGCCCCCTCCCAGGGGTGCGAACCAAAGGCATTCTGACTACAAAGCGATATCAAGCTGTGCGATCGTACAAAGTTGACTAATTGCCACTATAAGGCTGGATACCTCACCAGCTGTTCCTAATGGTCATTACCGGGAATGACAGCACCTACTGGTAATAAAAATATGCATCTCAGCATTTGCAGTCTGTACGTTGTTAGGACTCAGTTACTTTTTATATATTACGTTACGAGCCATACGAAAATATTGTTTGACGACTTATGATGCTACTCAGTCAATCTCAGAGTGAAGTAAGCGAATACTCTTTGAATGAGATACATTACCACGCCCCTCCTCAAGGAAAGCCAACTATCACAATTTTAATAGTAATAACAATAATTAGCTGTATAAATTAACCCAAAGTGTGGCTTTTAAAACTGAGTTTGAAAGTAGTATAATGCATAATTCTTTTTCAAGAATCTTGAACAGTACAGCATCAAGCGAAATAAACATCCCTGTGAAATAAGACGAAAAGCATGAACGGAAAACAAAAGAAGTAGGACTGACTGGGAATAAAAACCTTATTTAACTAGTGTAGGTATTTTTTAAAAATATACTCGACCATAAGTTATGCTTTATGTTCAAGAGATCTTTTTAACTTGGTTCCCTGAACAGGTCTTCCTTGTTCCAGGCTATGGGCGAAACTTACTGTGTGTGAGTGCTGGTGTTACACACTAGTTGCAAGGCTGAAGTAGGTGTGCAGTGGGACCCACTGACTGGAAGCCGAGTATAAGTATAGAACTTGGTCACTGTGGTAGAGTGTAACTCCATTATGGATAAGATTTTATTTTGATTAATCACACAGTAATATTAACTGATGACGTTTCGAGCACAAACTATTGCTCATAATCATATCAAGTTACTCACACAAGTTTTTCCTTCATTTATATATATAAATGAAGGAATGTACGTAGTATTCGCTTGCTAATGCTATATTTGACTGTGGGAATATGTGAGAATTATATTCCGTTGGAACAGATTCAGCATCACAACACCACACTTTAATTTCATTTTCTCGATCAGTTTAAGGCAAATGAAATATTTAAATAATAAGAAAAGAAAATTGACACTCAACGATAACCACGGAAGCCATATGTGATCAGATGTCAAAATGTGGGTGAATAAATAAATAATACAAAGATAGGCACCTTCTGACCTCCTTATTGGTCGGGCCTCGACAGAGGAGACAGAGAATATTTGACAACCTTAATGCTTATTGTGACAATCATCAATGGAAAAACAGAGTGAAACACCATCTTTGACATTATGAAACTGAATTCTTCTCCCACCCACCCCTGAATTTTTAGCAATCAGTAAAACTCTATCACAGTTCAGAAGATATTAGTAAGGTTGACACTATAAACTAGTAAACGTTAAAAAGTGTTCGCATTAATTCAGTTTAATTAGTTGGAATACATTATAAATAGTAGTAATGTGCCTACCATCCATACATAATTATTCATCAACAATCACCAGTCGAAGGATAGAAAATTATACCGTCAAAAATACGCAATTCGCATAACGATCTAGTACGACCGAGGGAGGGCAGACTTCTGTCTTCCTCTCCAAATGCTCTTATGTGGCCACACTTTCATTGCCCCTGGCAGCTAAGTACTATGCACTGACTTGACGCGAAAGCAGTGGTCCCCCAAAAAGTGGAAAGGTAAATGCAAACGTTCGGTGCTTACAACCAGACTAATAGACAAACAGGTCTATCTACCGAGGGGAGCTGGAAAACCCGAATCCAGAGTCTATGGAGTACATGAGTCCCAGAACCTGAAAGGATAGAATGTCATATGAACTTGTTTCGGTCACTGTCAACCACGGGAACACTGACTTGTAGACTTTAGGGATGACCTCTTAGGACAGTCACTTACTTAGGTCTGAGAGTCCGGGCAGTATTCCAGTCCTCACAAATCTATGAGAATTTGTGTGGCTCATCTCTCTTGATTCCCATAATGTACTAAGTTTGTGTTTGATTAAATATGAATAAATAGCTAACAGAGAGTGTACGCTGCTTGAATGCTTTGATTTCGACTGATTTTCGTCATTTAACTGTTTTATTACGAACACGAAAAGTTCACTGTGTCAACATTAAGGCAAAAAAGTTAGAAGACAGTATTGATATAGGTGAATCAACCAACCAAATACATGCACACAAAAATAAAAACGAAGTAGAACATGAACACACATACCGATACACCAAAACACACACATACCCACAAAGATGTTAATTATAAACTCACCTAGAATAACTTCAGGAGCACGATAATGTCGTGTCGACACAATTGTGGAATGATGATCATAATCAAATGTTGCTGAACCAAAATCAATTAAACGGATATCAGAACACTTGACCATACGTTCATGTCTACGTTTTTTACGATTATGCACTGATATATAATCAGAGTCTACAAATAGTATATTTTCTGGTTTTAAATCTGTATGTGTTAATTGATTATCGTGTAAAAAGCGCACAGCATGACACAGCTGATAGGATATATGACGAACATGTTCCATTGGATAACCAACATAATTATTTTCTTTCTACAATGACAAAAAAAATAATGAAACGATGTATATACATATTTCAGCAGCATGTAAACATTTGGATTGACTGACTGAGTTTCAACATAGAACTTGGCATAGAAATATGCAATAGCTCAAGCACTGCCACACCCCATGTAGTACACAAAAGTAAAAAAAGAGATTCAAAAGAACTACAATGACCAGAAATGTGAGGGAGAAAAAGAAGTCATATGGAAAAACCATGAGGGCTTAATGAATATAGGAGATCACAATGAGAGAATGCATCTACGCCATTCAGAGAAATTCTGAGCCATATCATGAATATCCTGCAGACATTGGTTCTTCGTACCTCAAGGACTCCAACCAGGCAGTCCACACCTTCCTACCAGGTTGGCTCAAACCAACTGTGAGAAACTCCATGGAATGACGCTAGGTTTGGGTCATAGTAGAATTCGAATATGCAGTCTCCGGATTACTAGCCCAACACTCTACCAATGACCAAGACTTAATTATTCAGTTTCACTCATTACCCGGTACATCATTAACAGTCTGCTAACTAAAGAATATCTCACCATCATTACATCAACTTGTATACAAAGATCCCCCTTGGGAAATGAATGTCACACTGTCAGCTTCTTTAGTGTGAATACATGTTACCTGAGGAAAACAGAAATGTAAAGATATATTATGAAAAAATCAGCCGTAGAGAGCTCTGTTTATCTTTGCTAGACCCTCTATAATGAGTCACGAATTGAATTTACCGCACTTATTCTTCATTTTGCAGATATATACCGTAGGAATTTGTTAACAGACAGTCTGGGATTAGTGGAATATAAATTGGATTTCGCTACGTTAAAAGGAAGCAACGTATGTGAAACTTATCACTCCCTGCGCAACACTTATCTTAGCCAACGCCAATATGAATTTCACTGAGAAACTATTGGAAATACAGAAACAAAACTAGTATTATTCCTATTGTTTTGATACCGGACTATCAATGTAGACGGCGACCTATTCTCTGTGATACACAGTGCTTTATCTTATGATTATTTTATTCTTTTGCGTCCCGAGTAGAACATTGGGCTTCGAACTTGAGCTTTTGAATTTTCAGCAGCAGAGGTTTTATTTTTTAGGGGTTGGAGCTACTCGCTTCACGCCTAATCTTTCCTCTTTACCCAGCTTACTATTGACTAATCGAAGTTTATGAATGGTGTCAGCCGCAGAAGGAACCCCGGACCACGTGTAGTGTGACTGGCGAGTATTCTACCGATGAGCAACCGACGCACAACACTTTATCTAGTAGTAATAATTTACTTTTCACCACTAAGACAAAGGGTTACACAGACACTTCGGTCACACACATACAGACACGTTTTAAACACAGAAATAAAGCGAAACATGAATTCATCATTTTCACATTTACTGTTAATAAATAATAACTACTAGGTGCATTGAACATCTGAAATCCATAATCTAACATGATTATACTTGTATACGAGGGAGAGAGAAAGAGATAAGGAAAGCAGACAAAGCTGGGACTCATCAACACACACACGCATACGCAAGTAGCAATATGGATCCAAAATGAAACGTGTATGTAAGTGTAAAAGAAATAAATCAATAATGATGATCATATTAATAAAAGAAAAATAACCTATTGATTGGCTGGTTACATATATTTCTAAAATTGACCATCTAATGCACACAGGGAATCTGTACTTACGCCATAGATACATACATGCATGCGCGCACAGGCACACATCCGTGTTCGGAAACCAATAGAGATTGGAAACACCAGATCAATATATAATGGTGCACAGATCAATTTCTTTCGGTTTCAACTTACGACAAGGAGAATATATATATATATATGCCTAAATATATTCGCCTTCAGTCAGAGAGAATACCTATTATTACAATTTGGTTATGAAAGTTACGATAATGTATGAAGATAAAAATACAATTTATACAAACATCATCAGCAAGCTTTTAAAAGAAAGAAGGAGGGCATATGTTTTAGTTACAATCTCCTCAAGTGCTTCACATTTTATTCCCCTTTAAGAATTAGAAGAAGGGGAAGGGTATTAGAAGAAGTACTGTTTGTTTATTTATTTATTATTGAGTTGCACTTTAGCAAAGCAAGTGAATTTCATTACATCTAAATGAACATGCCTTGATGAGATTATCACCCTATGACGAATTCTAATACATAGACACATACCAGTGTCGGGTGCTTGTTACATTTATTGACTGGAAGGCGCTAGTTGACTCCGTGTCTAACTGTAAAAAGCATGTCTAGAAAGTGTGTCATTGACATTTATTGCTTGGAAGTAAGAGTGATGCTGTTACATTTATTTATTTATTTTTTTTTATTTTGGTTACTGCTTGATGCCACACCGTATTTTCAGTACAAGTATGGAATTTTCAGCACGGATATCGGTAGCCCAAATTTTACAGGCCGACCATAGATATCGGGTGTGCGTCGGCAGGGGATCGAACCTCGGACCATGTGCATGGTCGGCGAGAGTCCTAACCACTGTGCCACCGACGCACAGACAATATTACAAAATAAGTAGAATAAACAGTAGGTACAAGGTGTACATTTCCACCACGAAATATCACACACAAATCCAATCAAACATCAAATTTTCTTTAACGAAACAAAAGTTGAATTTTATAAAACAAAGCAAAAAGGGATAATCGTCCTTTTAATCCATTAAAACAAAGACAATTACCAGTCATTGCATTTATACAAACAAGCCCGTTTGGCAGTTAAAGTACCCCACTGCAATCTTCGTATTTTTATTTTTATGAGAAATATTATTAGAAGAGCATGCACACAATACATGTAGTGTGTGTATTGACTATCAACTACACTCTCCAATTGAACACACACACACGCGTCTACAGTAAAAAGATAGCAGTAATAGTGGCAATGAAGTAGAAACCAAATCACATGAATTACAAAGAACCACACAGCGTAAAACTATGCTAACTAAATTTAAATGCTAACAATTCAAACAAGACAAAACGACAGCATTCCACAGTATATTCTTTCCTCTTTGTGTTTCTGTTGATTTTTCGATTACAAATAACAATACAACACAATGAAAAAACAAATAAATGCGTGTATATGTGTACATCTCCTGTCAAGGAAGCATACAGGAGACATTTAGGCACACAAATACATACATACAACATAAAAGGAATATTACTAATATTAGTAACAATAAGTATTATTATAACTTCAACGATTTACTTACCAAAAAATCGAATACAGATAAGCCAAGAATATCAAATGCCAAGCATATATGTCCATGATAATCGAACCAATCCAAGAGAGTTACGCATAAACTAAATTTATGACAAAAATAAACACACAATTAAGCAAACCCAAAAACGGATAGATCAAGATAGGGGGGGGGGGGAATGGAATAAAAGTATGAAAAATATCATCATTAATTCAACTTTGATCTATATTATATATATATATATATATATATATATATATATATATATATATATACTTTAATTAATAATAGCACTATTACCTATAATAAAAATAATAATAGTAGTAGTAGTGAAAATGTGTTAAAAACAAAGAGATATGTTCTTTTATCAATATGTCATATGTGAAGAAGAACAAGAAAGAGGAGGAAAAGGTGCTGTCTGATGCTTCTGCTTCCTGTCGGCATAAACACATGAACACACAAAGATACCATATTGTACTATTATACAATGTTATAAACAGAAAAATTACAAGAAATTTGTTATACAAATGTATATATGCACTAGAATTGGACATATATTTACTTTCTCCATCTAGATTATCCTATTACTTTCCAACTGATTAGATTATTAATGAGGCGGTTGTTGAAAGAAAAGTACAAGGGCTGCTTGTGTGGTTCAGTAGTAGAATATGCTAGCTAGCCAGTTAACCAGTAATGTGGAAAGTCTAAGTTCATTTCCCCACCGACTACTCACCCTTACAAATCTTGCCTAGTTCACTAGCCTGTAGTATACTGGAGAAAGTAAGAAGGTTGGGCATGAGGCTAGCGACCTCATTAAGAGAAAAAAAACTACATTATCACTACTGAAACTTCAAAAGTACTATGTTCCTTGTAGGAGCATAAGGAAAGAAAGGAAAATTTACTTTGCATCTTTTTTCTTTGTGTGTGTGTGTGTGTGTATGTGTGTGAGGGCCATTTAAACCTCGAGAAAGATGAGGCAGATGACCTATTAATAGGAAATTGTACAACTGTTACTAATTATACTTCATTATCTAATAGTTTATAACACTGACCTCTTATTCAGGCAGAAGTAGTAAATGGAAAGATTGAAACAACAACAGCTGAAAATGGTATATTTAGGTCTTGAATCACTGTTATGTGCAACAACAGTTTAATGGTAGGTAGCTTACCATCAGTCAGTACACAAATTTTATAAATACTAACTAGCCATTCGTTAGAAAGACAACCGACCAAATCTCAGAGAAATAATAGGCACCCACTACACCTTCATTTCCGAGTGCAGGAGAACACATCTCCATTTTAATCCATTCTCTGCAGTCCATTTTAGCAGGCTCCATAATTCCCACAAGCATTCAACCCTCTCTTCAGCGATCTCCTCCTCCTTGTCAACCTCGAACCTACGCCCACCTCACCATTTCTCTTTTGTGTTCCCCTCAAAGGCGTAGTGCATGATATCACTCAAGGTGTTGATGTAAGTTTGCATCCTGTTTGAAATACTCTCAGTGATGCGTATGTCAAACACTGACCTAACATTAGTGTTGAAATCCCGAATTTTGTTCCATATGCTGAATGCAACAGATTTCCACACTGATTCCAGAAAAAGGAAGGTCTGTCTTGGCTTAGTATGACTTTTCCTACTTGCGCTGTTGTAATATACATCTCAATCTTAGTCGCCCAACTTATTATTTGGGGTCAGGGAAATTATCAAGTACTGTTAATCGGCACTGCTGTCGATACTAAGTGATTACCATATTAGTAACCATTCCTTTGCGTTCCTAGTGGGACACGGGGTCTCAAGCTAAAGCTTTTTAGTTTCAGTGGCAGTGGTGTCTTTTTTTACAGATGGGACAGCCAGTCTTACGCCCAAACTTCCCTCTTTACTGGGTTCACACTACCAGCAAGTGAGGTTCAGGCGTGTGTCGGTCGTAAATCGAACATTGGACGAGCTTCCTACCATTGAACCATTGGGGCACACGTATTAAAAATAATATTACCGATTAGGAAAACAAAAACAGATGAAACAATATGAGTTTATAATAATCACAATAATTAGTTTCACTTACTGCTCAACATTTGCACTACGTTCATTTAAGAAATTCAATACATTTATTTCAAGCATAGCAGCTTCACGATATTTGTCCACATTTTTAATAATTTTTAAAGCAATTCGACGATTTCTAAAAAAGCAAACCAAGAAATACAGAGAAATGAAGTCGCACAACAACACTGTACAAATAAATCAATCAGTGATTAACAAAACCAAATGGTTGAAGGCAGTCCCCACGAAGCGTTGGACCTAGTATTCGTGCTTGTTGGCTCTCACCAGTCAGCAAGGAGTATTTGCAATCTTGAAAGAACTCATATGCCTTCAGAGATTCACCCAGTGGTGGAGTCAGAAACGTTACCACGGAGCTATTTGGGCTCATAACTGACCTCCAGCAGGATCTTTATGGATACTTGACTCATAGAATTCAGTCTACACCAACACCACGGACTAGACACGCATGACAACAGTTACTACCTAGTGTGAAGTGAAAGCATAGTCAAAATTAGAGCACAATCATTTGAAATGATTGTAACTGTAAAAGAGAAGGAAAATCATGAGAAATTAAGTGCATTGCGGAATATATAATCTAGATAAAAACTCTGTTTTCGACAAATCCTACAAAACTTACTTTCAGATTTTATTCAGTCACCGCAAGAATGATGACTGATTACATTTATAGTTGCATAACTGTGAGTAATTTCTAATCACCACCGACGATGCTCCTTCAGCATGAGATTGCATGGAGGAATTAATGATGGAGAAATTTATCATAGAAAGGAGAGTAAACAGATCTACAAGGTATCTTTTTCAATGGTCCACCACCCAATCGAGAACTAATATGAAAAAGGAGTGTTATGAAGCACAGTTTTCTTCGCTAACCATGAATTCACGATTTATGCATGCACTCACATGATAACCTCATCGGACAGTTTTTGATTCGTTTATTTATGGCTTAAATCCCTGAGGTTTTATAAATATGATACACCATGTATTGTGTCTCATAAACGTTATCGCGGTTCTTGTTGCCGTTGTTTCGAGTGTCGTTTCTCCTAGACTGACCTTTGTGTCTACCTCGATATGGGTATATTTTCAAGTGGTCAGTTAGTGGTAGTGTCGCATCTGGAGACACGTTTTTGACAAGTTAGGTGACTCTACAAACCAGTAACACTTCGTCATAATAAAATTCAACACACAACCAAAGAAAACAGGAAATAAGCATAATAACGCACCATAACTGAAGCCTTTTTCATCACGACAACACGGATTACACATAAGTTGTTATAGTTTCATTTGTTCCTTTAGAGGCCCAAACATAAAAGCCTGAATGTTCCACTCACTCACTGATAGATGGAAATTAGGGTAATCGAACAGATGGTAGTAATCTTTTCTATTATTCACCAGCCTACACGCGCATAAACTTGGTTATTTTAACAAGTGAATTCAATTCAATTATTAGACTTTAAAAAAGGGGTCGAAAATACACGCTTCTCAAGAAAAACATTATCATCTGCGTATGTGGGCGTTTTTCGTCTAAAAATGGAGGACTGACTAAGTAAACACACCACTTGTCAAAAAGAAGTTACAGGCACATACCAGATTAATTGTCAAATGAGATACCGCTAATTCACAATTATTAATTAATTCGGATAAGCTTTTTCGTATAATCCTCTCTTAAAGACAAAAGAACACTTATTATGCGTGAAAATTAATGACAGCTAATGGAGAATTAGCTTTCCCTCTTTATTCTTATAATTTATCCTAACGATTGAGCGCCGCCACCCACTACTTTATTTGTTGTTATGTGATTAAAGGATTACCACTTTACAACGATCAATCAAATGCACAGCAAAGGAAAAGAATATTTTCTTTAAAGAGACAAAATATCACCAATTTTTAAGGATTGTCATTCGTTTTTCTAACAAAATTACGCAGAAACAACACCGAAATACTTCCATGATAACAGAGTCGGCTTATGTGGTAATCACACAGTGAGTGACAGTATTACTTACTGATGACGACTTTTCAAGCACAATTTACTGCTGCTCATAGTTATATCAAGGCATCTACATAACCTATTCCAAACTCTGTTTATATAACTCCATCATTTCTTATTGTTTGATTTTATAGGCAGTGATATTCTGACATTGTAGTGGCGTCGCATGATTCCCATGACATACATGTTGGGTGTAGTTTCGGTGGTGATCAATGATCAACATTTCGCCTCACCTACCCATACTGCATTTTAAAAACTGCAACTCTGCCCCACACTATTGTGTGATTGTGTGTGTTAATGCATGCATTGCAATTGCTGTTTTTCCTCATCATATATCTGGAGTCAGTCATTCTACACTTAAATAAATTCTTATGTTCCGATAATTTGATTATCCCTGACGTACCTAGGTGACCTCAGGGTCATTGCAAGGTATGTTGTCAATTACATTACTTTGCCTAGTTTGATCAGTAGGGTCCTTTAGGATACAGAACTTGTCCCTGTACGTATGCTTAAATGCCACTCTAATTCTTGTTCTGTTAAGAATCCTACGTAGGGTTTCAAATGCCCGTTTCTGTATGTGGTAAAGTTGTAGACGCCTTAAATTCTTCCTTATTTATGCTATTGTTACTAATTTCACCATCATGGGATCGTTATTTAACACCAACGCTTTTTCCATCTGTTTCGTCATTACATCATTAGTTTCCTGATGCACTAATTAGAATCATTGCTCGGTTTGTTAGACATTTAACTACACTCGCTTTCATAGATAACGGATTAGATGAATTAAAGTCTAAATAGATATTAGAATCCATGTCTCCACATGATTATGAACAACAATAAATTGTGCTCTAGGCGTCACCCATAAACACAGCACTGTATCCTTCACTCTGTGATTTTATCAAATAAATTTAGTCTATGATGGAATCATAGTCCACCACAGTGTATGCATTTCAATTCTTATATGAACACGGAAACACGATAACATCAACTAATTTGTGAATACTTAACTTTAAAGTAAATGCGCAAAGTCAACCCACAGCAGGAATCAGTAGTGATCAGAAATCGTTCAAATGCAGTAGTGTCCTGAATAAATTTCAATGAAGAGACATAGAGATTACCAAAAACTCCTAATTTGTAGACTGCTATTTCAGTCAATCACCAACGTTATCAAATATTTACACATTTATTAATTTAACAAAAAACACAGAAATACTCGATAAAAACTTACTGTACATGATCTTTGCATTCAACAACCTTTCCAAATGTACCTTCTCCAAGTGTTTTAACGATTTCATCTGATGTTATCAAAGAAAATAAAATCAATTATCGATAAAATTCCATTTATTTTAAAAATATTTTGAATAATAAAATTAATGAAATTGACAAATATATATATATATATATATATATCTAGAATTATCAGAAATTGGAATTCATAGACTGGTCACTGGATTCCGTCGCAGTAGCTGAACTATCAACGAACCTGCCTTGTGACCTGACGGATGAGTACTGTCAAAGAGTTCCAAACTAGGAGGAAACAGCTGCCAGTAGTCTCTGGTTTTCCAATGGTTCTCCAACTAATGTCAGCTCGTGGTCAATCTTGTAATCAATCAAATACTTGCAAACGAACACTTGAAAAAATATGTATCTTGACATTATTTTACCACCTAGTGTAAACTGGGATTTTTGTAGACCAACAGCAATTGGATATATCATACAGTGAAACGGTATTATGTACTGGATACCGTTTAACTTAACGACTAATTGCTTGTAAACAACACTTGTCATGATGACTTATGACAAGAAAGTGGGGTTTTAACTGTCATTGAAATTTCAACCGTAAAATATTTGAGGAAAAGTAATTTTTCATTATAATATATATATTTTTCATTATAGTATAAAAGTAATTTTTGATAAAATTGTGTAATATTTTCCCTCAAGACTGTGTGAAACTGTGATTTCGTTTAAATGACATGTAGGTCTGGTAGGACTGCGTTACACTCTTTTACATGCTGGTTGGTTGCAAGCGTTTATATATTTCACAACCGCACTGCGTTGAAATGTCACTACTACAAGAAGAAAGGAATAATAATTGGATGGTGGTAGCATTTTCCACTAAAATGGTTTATTCTGTCTTGTACAGACTGTTCTTTTATCGGCATGAAATCATTATATGAATACTTCAACAGTTTTATATTGGTTACTGAGAATTTTCGTGGTTATTTAATGGAAAGTGATCGTCACTTTCAGTCCAATTTAATCAATGGTCTTCTTGTTCGAAGACTAATCAATAAATGTACACAACTTAAGTGATACATTCATTTCTTTAATATCTAATCAAATTAGAGAAATTTCACAAACATTTTTCATTTGTGCTGGCTTCTTAGATGTATTTTCTATATGTATACACATTGAGGTCAATGATAAAATTTGAAAGTCAATGAAAATTTCTTTATTCGCATAAAACAGCTTATATGTAAGGCAGTTAAGTATTACAAGAAAGGGAAGTGCGTAAATGATTCCCAACCTTATTTGAAGTTATAATACTTATAATCATAATTGACTACAGCAAAATTATGAGGTATCTCTACACGGCGTTGTACTCTCCAAAAAAGTGAAAAGGAGAATGCGGACGTCTGGCGCTTACTAGACTGGTCGAACATCCACGTCTACCTAAGCGAGCTAGGAAACCCTGATTCCAAACTTATGGGGCACATGGGCTTCAGAATACGAACGTAATCGAACGGCGTATGAACATATTTTGGTCACCGGGAACCATGCGTACGTAGCTCTTGATGCTGTTCCCCTGCCTTGTGGATCAGAATTCAAATCAAAGGATCGGCGGGGGATAAACGCTTAAGACAACCACCTGCTTTAGTCTGAACCTGCGGGCAGAATCTCAGCCCTCGCACAAACTATGGTAGTGTTTTGTGCATTTCTTGTTTCTCATAACGCACCAAGTTTGAGATTTTATACATACGTAAAGTTTAAAACAAGATTTGTGCCAAAAAAAGTTTGGTTTCGGTTACTTTAAAAGATTTTTTAAATTTAATTCATGAACTATCACCATCTAAGCGTTAACAAAAACAACAACACAAGTAGTTCAACGAAGAGACTTTTCGGAGAATTCATTTTTTGTTTAGTTGTACAATCGCACTCATAAACAAATTTTCCTCACAAAAGAGAATAGTAACAAAAGTGATGCGTTATTGACATAACCATAGCTGTTAATATTAGAGTTATGTATTAAGATGTATAATTTAATGAATGAGTTGTAATCAGGATGCATATAGAAACGGAAGAAAGTGTGGTATTACACAAGAGTCCGAAAGAAATGTGAGTTATAGAGTTAAAAATCAAACAAACGAAAACCAAGTTGGTAGAAAACAACGATGACGTTACCACAATAGTAGAAGTGGTTGAATAATTTCCTTTTGCATGCATAGCTTCAGCTACTCTATCCGAATAGCTAGAGCTTCAGTAATGCGGAAGAGACGACAGTGTATTGTTTCTTTGGCAGGTTGTTCTTCACATGTTGTAGATCACTTTCAAGTGGGAGTGTTTTTGTTGTTGAGACAGAATGATAAGTGTTGACAAGGTGTTTAATTATCACGTCATTTATTATAGAGCCACTGCTGCCTTTCTGCCTTTTTATTATAATGATAGCATATTCCATAGCTCTGATTGGCTTAATTAACTCGTCTTATGCATTGACTAATACTAACAACTCATCACATTTGTTACCAGCCTCTTTCGTGAGTAAAACAATTGTATGTAAATGAGATTGTACAGCTTAAGAGGAAAATGAAATCACTGCGAAAAGAGTGTCTTCATCACTGGATACTGCTTTGTTTTGGTGTTTTCAATTAAAAATTACAGGAAAAAATGGTGCAGAAACACAAAAAAACCTTTATTCATTTGATGACTTGACTTACATCGATTCAATATTTTATCACCAATACTGTAGATTAAATGTCCATCCACATCGTCAACAACTTCATCATCGTCTTCTTCAGCAGACTGAGAAGAAAGGAAATAATAATAATAATAATAAGATGGTGATGATGATCACTGTGAAGTTGACAACTTTGAAAAAATTGTCTTTTTAGAAAATAAATGGAAAGGTTTTATTTCACACACAAGCTTAAATCAATTACTGATAATTACTGAATCAACTAAACAGCATACGATGAATCGGTACCACTAATCATATGGAAAGCAAAATATTAGCAAACAGGCAGATTGATGTATTTGTGACCTGATTCAATTCTATGGAAATCACTCTAAATAAGGTACGAATTTCTTGATTTTAGGATTGAAAAACAACGGAAATAAACAAGGTGACATGGATTAGTGACTTAATTCGCTAAAACGCATATGCCATAGGTTAAGTTAGTTAGTTAGTTATTAACAAACCTGGCAGAGTAACAAATCATGACAATAGTGTACTGTATCCTCAGTGACATATACTAGGAAAAACAAACACCGAGAAGTTAACAATTTCATAAAGCCATCACCATAATCATCTACTTGTGAGTGACGTAATCTTTTCCTTGTTATTCTTTACATAAATGTGTCTAACGATGAAGGATACCTTGGAGTATACACTTTATACATCCTCTCTCAGACAGTTACCACCTCTATATAACTACATTAATAATATGACATTATATATACAATGTACTGTGACATACAAACAAATATTAAATAAAAATTATAATTCAATAGAAATATTTAAAGAAATGAATTAAAAGGAGGAAATGAAATAGTAGGCACTCAATAACTAGATTAGACTGATTCATATGATAAATAATAGAGTTGATTCGAGCAGTCAACTAAATAATACGCACCAGCAGTAGTGGAATTGCAAAATGGGCCACACGCCATAGAATGAATATTAATCAGTATCCTCCTGACAAGTAGTTAACGAACTATATATAAAATTTTATAACCGTAAAACACCTAAGCATATTAAAACAATACACAACGATAACAAAAGAAAACCACTCGAGAGAAACAAATTCACCTCAGATTCATGTCTTAGCAAACCTTCATTCAAACTTTCAGTAACACTAAGTTTCCTAAGTTCAATAAATCGTTTTGCACGTTGCCTAGCCACAGCTAGTCTAGAAGCAGCTTGATCTTGATTATTTTGGGTTGATGTATCACTGCTATTAGCAAGTTTACTACCACCATTATTATTAATATTACTACCATTCGTAGTCACATTATTACTGTCGTTAACACCATCAACATTGGTGGTCATCAGTGCAGAATTGTTGCCTATGTGATTTTCTTGTTGTTGTACTGCAGACGAAGCCTCCATAGCATTTTGCCGCATAGCACAAGCAACTGTAGCTGCATTTATCTCTTGCGTTTTCTGCGTACGACGAAGTTGTCTACGCAGACGTCGACCAACTGTTTCACATTCCGAGTCATCGTCATGATCTTCACCATTATTTTCATTACTTTTGTCCTCTTCTTCCTCATCTTCTTTTTCACTAATACTGCTATTATTCTTAGAACCTAATTTCTTTTTATTCTCTTCACCATTATTTGTTAATCCATTCAACTTGTCCAACTTTTTATGTTGATTATGATTCGATTTTATTCTTGCAAGTGATTTCAATGTTAACGGACCACAGATAATTACTGAGGCTTTGCATAGCGTGTTGAAACATTCAATTTTCTTAATAAATCTAATATTTGTTGCTGTATATCCATCGCACAGGATACAAACGGCATAGACAGCTATTGGATGATCTGGTAGAGTTTCAGTACAATCTACTAATTCACCATCTATCGGCCAACGAAATCTTGATGAATTAGCATTGAAAGCTGAAGCAGCGGCATTACTAGTTGTTGTAGAACGCATACGTCTTAATGGGACACCACGAGACAAAGGTATCAAATATGGCATACATTCATTTAAACCAATGAATAAACTCAATTTATATAGTGTCGGTTGCTGTTGTTGGTGGTGCTGGCGTTCATCCGCTTTATGATTTGATGGAGTTGATGATGATGGTGCTTGTTCTGAGGTTGTATCCAATGTGAAAGAATTCGAACATCGTTCACAAATAAGAGGAATATTATTTGTTTGAGTAGATGAATTGGTCATTGAAACACGTGGTTTCTGATAAACTTTATGCTTTGGTATTGGTTTCAGTGTAACTAATCGACTGCCAGTAGTTAATGCCTTAATTAATTGATTTACAGGAGATTTCACTGAAGATGATGATGTAGGTAAGAGATCTCCAGCAGCCGATTCAGTTCCATAGGTTGGTGATTCTGGTGGTAACAGAGTTGATGATGTCGCTAATAGAATTATGTCACCGTCATCATCATCTTTACCACTGCTTGTACATCCATTCTCTGTATCGAAAACATCATTGTCTGAAGACCCACAGCCACCAGTATCATCTTCAAATTCTTGTTGATTAAAACTAGACGTGGCTTTTTCAAGTTTACGGAGTAAAGCTGAATTCACTTCATCAGCTTTTACACCATAGGTAGGTTTAATTCCCCGACGTGTAGTAGTTGCAGGTTTTCGATCAGCTGGTGGAGAATACGAAGACTCTCTTGATGCTGCACTACCCACACGTAATCGACTTACACCATCATTAACGTGACTACTAGCAGCTGAAGCTGTAGCAGTATTCCGAGCAGTTGATGATAAACTTGGATTTGTTGGAATTCTTGGAGGTCGAGTAGTAGTACTGGACATAACTGTAGAATTTTGATTATTTTTCAGAGAATTCATTGGATCTAACCGTTTTTTATTGGTTAATGTTATCGACTGAGAATGGCTAGAATAATCAGGATAATGATAGTTATTGTTTGATAAAACGCGTGACGATGATGCTGTTTTTAGATTCAATAAACTATTTGACAAATTTATTGGACAATTTGAATTGTAATTTGATAAATGAATAAACTGTGATTTTTCAGACACTTTGCAAAGATGATTATGAATTGACACACAATCTGTAGTCAAAACTAAAACATGATATATTGATTGTGTGATAAACAATAAACTTAACTCCTCAGTATAAGTCCAGTTGATTAGTGCTGTTACTACACCATTTGATGATTTGGTATTGTGTGTAGTATTATCAGGCGTACGTTTGTATGAATCAACCTGATTATATTCACTTTGTAAATGATGATGATTAGTGTTATGTGATGAAGAGTTATCAGGTGATTGACTGTTAATTAAAGTAGGATTACTTGTTGTTAAATTACAAGCTGATGCACATATAGCAAAAGGAATATAACAGTTCGGTATTAAATGGTGTAAACATACAGGGGAATGAGGTTCATTAGTAGTACTAGATGATGATTCAACGGTGGCGATAGCAGTGATTTTAGGTGCAATGTAAGTGAGTGTAAAAGTCGGTGTAGAGGAAGACGGCGATTTGGTAGCTGAACTCCACAGAGGGGATAAGGAAACTGTAGATAATGATTTTTTTCGTAAATTATCAACAGACTCCTCGGAATTAGAATTATTACTGAATCTAGATGAATCTGATTGTGAAGTAGTGGGAAGAGAATCTGATGACGGTTGACCTCGACTTGTAGGTCTAACCGGGCTGCTTGTTTTTTGACCCAGTTGGAAGGTAGAATTATAACAGAATTTGTTAACTAACAGCAAAATTTGGTAAATTTATTCAATTCCAAATTCAACTGTCACACACACATACAATGAATATGTGAGTGACACTATGTAGATATTTAATGCAACAAAGGCATCTTATGTAATCAATCACGAAGAGACAGAGCTTGTGTGGGAGAGAGAGACGGAGGTAAAATAAGTTTACGACGATAATGTAGATTTAAACTTTGGTGGAAAGTTTGAACAAATAAGGGATAAGTGTGTTTGAGTGTGAAGAATCATTCAATACAATGTATGTGCACAAACAGGGCAGATGTAGAATTTTCAACCAATGTAAAATAACCTATCGCCGCAGAAGCAAAGATTACTGTCGATCAGATAGGTAAACAAATTTCATTTAATCTCTAAAATTATTTGTAGCTTTTCCTATTTAGACAAACACACACTCACACAAAAAGAACTGAAGGAATGCACACAGGTAAATGAATCAAAGTTGAACAGAAAAAAATGTAAATATCCCACTAGAATAAATCGTCGACACAAATACACACAAACACACGCATGTATGTCCAGGTACAAACTAATACCTTCTATAAACCACCTTTCAGAACTACAACAAATCATGAACTACCAATCCACTTATTATCTAAAAATACACATACACAGTATCGTAGGTGTTTTAGGAAAGTAGGAGAATAGTGCAGTTCAGTTTGCATTGCGCATTGCGATACATAACAGCACCCAAAAATTAGTACATAAATATTATTGTGCACATGATATGCAGCCAGATAGAGACATCCAAACACAGACAGGCAAAGACACAGGAAGAGAAAAATATAACGAAAATGGTAGATGAAGATATGACAGGAAATGAAAAGAAGCTTACACAAATATCAATTAGTTCCACACACAGAGAGAGAGACAGAGAAAGAGATAAAAGAGGCAAGATAAAAGATACAATGTAATGGCACACGCACGCATGCACACATACACAAGTACCGAATAATCGATACGGCATAAGAAACCAGACAACTAGAAACAAATCAAAGTTGTTAAGCGGACAAAAGTGAAAAATAATCGATAAATATTGATAACCATACTGCTACTACTAGGCTAAATATAGTTTTTTCCAAAGTAAATACTAATTGATATCACGACTAAAATTATAATTACTATTACTACTATTACTTTTTCAGCGTTAGTAAAGACAAGAATAGCTAACCAATAAACAGTGACTAGATAGTAACATGAAAACATGTAGTAAATGTAATCTATCCACTAATTAAGTAAGCAAGAGAAGCATACAGTATATAACATAAATACTTCCAATTGCTTTTCCCCTAACAAAAATAGACGTTAAGACAATGACAACGATAGCCATTGAATAAGCAAGTAACAAGCGATGACTGACTACAATGAGTAGTTGTATACCTCTGCCGAAAGCCAGTAGTGTCTGCTTGCTAGCTAAACCAAAGTGGTCTAACCATTAGACGGCCGTTTCGCCCGTTTGCATTCCAGCTCATCATCAAATTTGATTTATGATACCGCCAGTCCGCCAAAGTACCTAGCCAGAAATTAGTTGGTTTGAACTTATTTGGCTTCCTGAGGTAAATCAAACCTGGTACACTGCCGATGGGCTCGGATCCGAACGAGAGAAATAAAAGTCGGTGTTTCGATCACTTCGATGTGGTTAGCAAGCAGGCACTACTGGCTTATGGCAGACGTATACGACTACTCAACTCAATCAATCAGCAGCACATAGTTTCACGTCTCTATAATTGCTTGGTGTGATCAAAAGTCAAGGGTGCAAGTGTGCCTTACTTTGACACAACCAGTAGGTGTCTGTGTCAGGTAAACAAGGCTCGATAATACCTCAGTTTCCTTGAAAGTTTGAAAGTTATATAACTGCTTTGATATGATTATGGGTAGTGGTAAATTGTCGTCACCAGTAAATAATACTGTATCACTGTGTGATTACTCAATGATAGAACTAAACTTTATCATAGTGCCCAAGTGTCTCGTTGACTTAAGTAAAAAACTTGGGCACTGTTGTAGAGTATAACTCCATTATAGATAAGATTTTATTTTGATTAATCACACAGTGTTATACAGTAATATAAACTGATGATGTTTCGAGCACAAACTATTGCCACTCATAATCATATCAAGTCACTCACACAACTTTTTCCTTAATTTATGAACATGAGAGACTGATTATTGAATCCTTGTTCATTGAGTTTACACCCAACATATGCAACAGAAATGACTCAATGCAAATACCAGAGATATGGAAGACATTATTACCAGTCAAATCAGAGGATGATAAATAATCTCAAAATTCTATTTCAATTCCCATGCATTATAACATTCTAACAAGATTTGCATTTTTACTAGAAAAACATCTTATTTCCCATCTGATTGTATTTGATCAATAACACTCATATTATTATTTCTGAATATACATTATCCTCTATTGATTTTCATTCAAATGTCTAATCGATTCCACTCATGTATATAAATGAAGTAAAAAGTTGTGTGAGTGACTTGATATGATTATGAGTGGCAATAGTTTGTGCTCGAAACATCATCAGTTAATATTACTGTATAACACTGTGTGATTTATCAAAATAAAATCTTATTTATATTGGTGTCTCCTGACTCTTGTGTAACTTTATTCAGTATGCACACATTAAGCACATTTTCCCAGTAACTTTTGACCAAAACTAAAGCAGTAGTAGTCATCGAAAATGCTTACGTAAAGGAAATATGCCTTAACCTACCAGCGAAAGAAAAAACTAAATATTTTTAGATAACAACGACGGCATCAAGATATGAGATTTTTAATACAACGATTATGTGTACATGTAGTAAATTAGCTGTGCTGTCAAAAATTCCAAACGCAAGGAAATATAAACACAAGAACTATATAACTTAGGCACTTAATTATTATTCCCTTGGGTTTCCAGTCAAACACACAGCTTCGGCACCGCATCTCTATCTCCTCCTGTTTTCTGCAGTCTTCTTTAGCTGGTTTCATAATCGCCCATATACTTACACCCCCTTCACAGGTTTGCTGCTACGTGGTGTCAGTCAACGGTTTCTTCAGCGTGTGCTTGACACATCAACATCCTCGGCACATTTGTTGGGCAATAGATGTTTGATAAGTTGACTGAGTTCCTTGCTTCCTTTCCTTTCTGGTCATCTGACCTTCACTATGGAAAAAAGGCAGTTATTGATGAAAGTCTGTATTATTCTGCTGGGAATGCTTTCGAGGATGCCGTCACCAAGTCTCTGAACTACATAGGAGAACTGAGTGACTTCGCATTAGTGGTGAAAATCCTAATATGGTTCTTAATACTTGATGCAGTGGGTTTCCACACTGATTTCAGATCAACTGAGGTCTGTCTTGCTTTTCCGATTCCGACTGGCTTTGACATCCTCATCCGTGACGCTTGAACACAGTTGGCATCATGTAACTCCATATGGACTTATTTTTTTGGGTATAACATACAGTGGGACAGTAGTATTTATTAGATGAAGTTTTGTACACCATCTATTGTTCATAATTATAGCACAAATAAGATGGTTTTATGAAATGCCTCCGACTCGAAAATTGTTTTCTCCACCAAAAAAACTTAGCATTTTAATTTGAAAATTAGACAAGCGGACATTTTATCGCTCCAATATTTACAACACTTATGACGCAACGAATTTGTATTAACACGGGGATAGATTTTCTATGTACCAGCGGCTATGAACACACGTAGTGTTTCACTGTTGACGAAACCATCCGGTTACACCGACTAAAGTAGGTGGCGGTGGAATCTTAACCAGGATCCACTGGATTGAACCAAGTAAGCAGCATCTTCACAACAGGTGATCCAATGACGCTAAAAGCTGCTAGGTTAACATTATTTCTCTTAAACCACAATAATGAGATGCATACACAACTGTCTACATGTAAAAGAAGAGTTTTACAAATAAGTCGTTTAGACCACAACTACTCCTGTAGTAGAACTAGATGGATGGGTGGTAACATTCAGGACACAGTAGATGGAAATACTTAGAACAAGATAAGGATATTTGTTAAAGTATGAAAAGCAATGCGCATACGTTCTGTGACAACCAAGTTGAAAGTGAGACTACATAAGAAACAAGACAGTAAGGATTTTGTAAAAGCTAAAACCCGAATCATCTATTAATTTGAATTCATATCATAAAAAATAGATTCTCAGAAGATTATTTCACTTACCGATGAACTGCTAGAAGAATCGGAATTCCGCGATTCAGAACCTCTGGAAGATTCGTGTTGACTACGGCGATCTATACGCCGTGAACGTTCAGGGGTTTTCAAAAGGGCTTTAGAATTGGACACAGTGCTTGAATACATATTTGCTTTTTTCACACTCTTTGGACCAGGTTCCCAAATAATATCTGACTTTCCCTTCTGAGTATGTTGATGACGACTATTTGATGTGGTTACTGGGTGTTTTCTACTCCGTGAAATAGGATTCTGGGGACTTGTAGAGGGAGGGACAGGTGGACGAAAACTACGAGTATTTCCACTTTTAGACCAATGAATCTTGGAATCATGTACACTGGATTTTGTGTTTTGGTGTTTTGCAATATAATCTCTGGTAGGATAATTATGTCGACCACTAGTAACATCTTTATCGTTATTTGAATGTCTATATCGTGACCTTAATCTGGACGGATTATTATCGTTTACGTCACTGTGAATAGTACCATGATATTGTTTATTATCACGTGGACGACGTTCATGTGCAGCTGTTGTTGACCAGGATGAACTTCCTTCTTTTCGTTTCTTTCCGTAATTGGAACGACTGGATTAAGAGTAGAAGTGTAATATACACAATGATACAAAAATAAAAACATCGTCCTGATTCATTAGTAAACAAATGAAATATATCAGTCAATAAATTGAAGTAGGAACGTCTTATGTCATCAAAAGAGAGTTAATAAAAATGTTGTCATAACATAGTCATAAACTTCATGCATATTATTCTCCAAAAAACTGGATGAAAATCTGTCCAACTAATTATCAGTACATGCGTCGGCGGCACAGAGGTAGAATGCCCGGCAACCACGTAAGCTACAGGCTTGAAATCCTATGTTTCACCGGGAACGTGAAGGAATAAAAAAAGTTATCAGTACAAACAAAATGTTGTCATTTTTTTACTTGCACACAGTGAACTGCAGAGAAACAATGTACTATACTGGCTTAGTATTCTGCACTTTTGTCACTATGATTTTATAAATACATTCTAAAGTGTTAGCTACATGTATATTTTTACAGAATCCACAATGCAGATGTACATTTGTAGGCAATGTAAGTTCTTACATTTAGCAATGATAATCATAGAATTACAAATCATAAACCACTTTTCGATGAGATCAGGGAACTCCACCACAAGGATCAACTTTCGAAAGAATAAATTATTTACAAACTTAAAAGGAGAAATCTGAAATCTCCCTAATATTGAACAACACAACACTTACGCAAATTTATTCTTTTACAGAGATTTGCATAATTCAGTGTGGCTTTAGCTAAATACTACTAAACTACCTTCCATAAAATACAATATACTAAGCAATTACTTACGCAATCTTATTTTTTCCATAACAAAGATTGATAACATACTAAAGGATTTTAATTTACGAAAGAGATTTTTCCTACTGAAAACTTTTATCAGTAGTAACACGAGACAAACTCACAATTTGTAAATTAATTCTCCATTTTCAAGTTACATAGTTTGAAGTGGATTTTACCTCGATTTCCCTTGAAAACCGAACTTATTCAGATCATACATCATCCGTTCTTGATAACATAAATGTCAGTCAAGAAAACCAGCATAAATGCATTATGCTATATACTACTGCTAGTTTGCTTATGATAGGTAGTTGGATACTAGTCACTCCAACCACTAGTACTTGCAAGCCAGATAGCAGTGATCTAATCAGCGGGTGGCCGTTTTGTTCGTTTGTAACCGACTTCATCAGCGATTTAACCGGTCCGACTCAGTCTAGCGGCACGAATAAGTTCGAACCACTCGACCCTAGCTAGATACTTGGGCGGGACATGAATCCCTTCAAGATTGCAGATACATCTTGCTCAGTTGCAGCAAACACGAAATCTAGGTTAGGCAAAGCTTCCTGCCAACTGCTCTTTATCATCAAGCTAATAATACAATGAATCAAATTCAAAGTTCATGGATTTTTACATACAAATTTTAACCTATGCATTAATGAGGGACTTAATCACCACTACTATCCTTTTCATCATCGTCTGGACAAACATCAAATACTCTAAATTAGAATACCTTCAACGACAATCTTACTTTTCTCAACTAAAATATTGTTGGAAAACTAGAAAATTATAAATTTTATACATGACCTGAATGAATTCTCTCAAATGATTAATCGCGTAAATCGATGTGAACATATGAGAATCTTATATAGAGAAATGTAAAGTTGATTAGAAGGCTTCACGACTGACTATTCAAAGAAACTTTGGTTGGTAATACTTCAGCGTTTAGACTTAAAAGTTACAAATATGCAAACACATAATTTACATACTTGATACAAAAGGTAAAGCAAAATAACTCCCAAATTGGCGGTGGTAGATAGCAGAGTGATCAAAGATATGTGTCTCGTCCTATTTGGGACTTGTCAGCTGGATGTGTGCCTGCTATCCTCTGTGAGTAATGGTTATCCCACTTAGACACTAAAACCGAACATACATCGTTTTAAATGAAGAAGCGTAATCCACTACGTCACTGGGTTATGAGATTCACCTCTTGTACAACGGGTATCAATCAATAGTTATTTGTCCAAGTTAACTTGAATTTTCCGTTGGGTGATTTATATATTGGACGGAAATGCTCGGTCTCTGCCTCACGGTTTCGGTTGAAAACAATTAATCGATAGGAAATACAAAAATAACTTAAAAGAAGGTAACACCAAGTTTTATTTAACGTTGATTACTTCTCGAAAATTATATGTATATATATATATATATATATGCCATTTAAGATGCTTTCATAAATGCATCGAAAACCGAATAAATTTAGCCTACCTGGATGGCTTGACGACAGTCTGTGCATGGAAAGATTTTTTGTTTAATGGAGGTTGAGGATGTCGTGATGACACAGTGGGAACTTCATCTTCATACATTTTTTTTGACCTCCAAACTTTATTTACAGATTTTAAACTTTTTGGTGGTGAAAGCAGAGCTCTTTTACGCTTGTTAACAGATTGTTTTTTTTCAATAGATTCATCATGTCGACTTTTACTTTGTTTATATTTACGACTATCCGTAAACGATGAGTCGGGAGTGTATGGTTTTCGTTTTGATGAATCTTTATTATACTTTTCTCCTCTTTTCTTACGATGCGAATAATTATGACGAGCACCAGTAACAATAGGGGAGAAAGAAGAAGATTCGCCAGAGGGGGTTACTTCACTTTGTGATAGTGATGAGGAACCAATAACATCCGTATCAGAAGAACTGACATCACTCATCAATAGAGGTGATTCATCAGAAGATATAAGTTGTAGATTTGATGATGACTTTCGATTATTATTACCATTGTATTCATCCTCATCATCAGCAGAATCAGAGCTTCTATCATAAAATGATTCTGATAATTTATTCTTTTCCTTTGTAGATTGGATTTTTCGACTAGACTCCTCGTCACGATCACCGTCATTGTTACTTTTGGCGTTGTTTTGTCGCCTTTTTGACTTTCTTTTAAAACCTTGTCGTAGTGAGTGTGATACATTGCATCCACTTCTTTGAGGTGAATGAGATGTTGATGCTGATGAGGAGGAGGAGTGACGTGTAGATGCAGACTGGCTTACATTTAGCGATTTACTTTCTTCCTGAGGAAAACTAGAACTAGAACGGATGCGGTGGTATGAACCCGAAGATGAAGAGGATGAACATGATGAACTACGACGAAGTGAAGTTGCTGGTAGAGGTTGAACATCCTGCAACGAATGAGATGAATGACGCCGGTCAGTGTGATGAGGATTTGCGTAAGCTGCAGGTAATGCACGACTCCTTTGATCCTATTTACATAAAGCAGTGAACTTATACATTTAAAAGATAATGTAAATGGAAATTTCCATCAATCATTAAAAATAAAATTTAAAACAACTGAATTCTAAAACAGAAGATCACTTATACATGATACAATCATTACGTAACTTCTCATATCTAATGATCATCAAGAGAGTGGAAGATATTCACAAAGTCGTATTAGGGTATAATAATGAGGACAATTCAATAGCTTACCAGACATCATACAAAATGGGGAAAAACCGTTTTAGAAGGTACATTTTGTCTGTCTTCCTAAAATAAACTGAAACCATTAATTCGAAAGTCATGTAAACATGAAGCATGCTTAAGCGGTAGGGGAATCGAACAATCACATGAGTAACTGTTAACAAGTGTCAAAACCCCTTTCACACTAACACTGTGTTGGCGAAAACAATACATTAGCTCATCACAATTCACCTGAGATCACTGAACAAAAACTGATGTGAAAATTACTGTGATATTCTGTATAATAAATGAGAATAAATTATTCAAATGTTTTTGGCTTTTCTAAACCACTTATGTGTGTCACTGGTTCAATGGTAGAACACCCACCAACCACGCCCCACGTAGTCTGAAGATCAATTCCTAGACGATGCACTTGTAGGTCTGAATTAACTAATAGTAAGACCATTAACAAGGGGAGGTTAGGAGTGAGGCTAGTAACCCCCACTCCTACTGAGACCTCGAAACTGTCCCACTCAGAATGGAACGAAAAATAGTAGAAAGATACAATTTTTACTGAGGACATTCAGTGTCTACTAATCTAAATTAGTGACTAAGTAGTAATGTGTATATTTCAAACAAAACTATGGTGAATAAAAAGTGTGCAGTCAATCACCTAATTGAAATTTTAAGTACTAATCCCTTATATTTCGGGAAAATTGACAAGATACTTAGTTTGCACGATGATGTTATTTAATCATTCTTAGTTGATTACGCAAATGACTAAGTTTTCTGATGTTCATTTATCGTTTACCTGTGGGTTATCAGTCTAACCTCTTAACCTTCACCATTTCAAGTGCTGAATACAAACTTAAGACTCCTTCCCCTAGTTTGAACGACCGCCTACCATTTCACCATACAACTTTCTTTTAATATTTCTTTCGTTCGAAACACACTTTCCACGGGACAAAGATATTGTATAACGTCTGATCATACTGATCGATCGACTAGGCTGAATTAGGCAGAGCAGAATTTGAGGAATCGGAACATCATTACTGGCCAAAGTGAAGTCAGTGCATCTTGTAGATCAGCTGAGTGACGGATAAGTAATCCAGAAACAGTTTAGTCCCACTTTTGCCACACATCTCAGGTTTTCATTTTATTATAAATAACGCTTATAGCTTACTATGACCAATGATGTCCCTGATCGTGGTGGAATGGATTATGCAGTAAACCGTCATGAGAAAGAAAACAAGAATAAGCTGGGCCGACAAAAAGAATCTAGAAGCTTTGCACTTCGCAGACGATTTATATCCAGTGCCACACAAACTCTGAGATCTATAGGCGAAAACCAATAAGTCGGTAGAAGAAGCAGCAGCAAAGATGGGACATAGGGAAGTCGGTGATGACGATATCTAACCAGTAACAACAACAAGCACCAACAGGAGAAACCTGAACAAGGTCACTTCCTTCACTTATCTAAGTGGCAGGCAGTTGGCACGGATGGTATCAACGCCAGTCAGAATCAGAAAAGCAAGACAGACCATCATTAATCTGAAATCAGTGTGGAAACCTATTTCACTAAGCATACAGAACCAGATTAGGATTTTCAAGACAAATATCAAGTCAGTCAGTTCTTCCATATGGTTCAGAGACTTAGTACGTCACCAAAAGCATTTCGAACAGGCTACTGCAGACTTTTATCAACAGTCGCCTTCCCTCCACACTGAAGAGCAGATGGTTAGACAGGATTGGCCACAGGGAACTCTGACAACAAACCAACCAAGAACAAATAGCCTAACAAATATACAGAAGAAAATGTTAGGTGGCATCACATGCCAGGCCCTTGACTGGACAGTTTGCGGATGAGAAACGACAAGTTCGACGTGCTCCTGAGGGTGACATGGTGGAAACGAGAGTTTATGGGCAATTTGGGGCCAGGTTAAGACGACTACAAAAAATGGATGAGATGCAGGTGTGCTGTTGAAGCCTTGTGTTCCAATGTGAATCTAAGGAAATAATAACATGAATGAATTCAACACCCCATAGAATACAGTGTGCAACATAGATAATCAGACTGGAAATTCTCGTGACCGGCATGACAGTCCACCTTATTTCGTGTGACTACACGCCTGCTTGGTCGTATTTACATATCTGTAGCATACCTAGAAATTAATGGCAGCAATGTTGCAACAGTTGGCTACAATCATTAGGGTTTAAAACATCACTACTAATTTGCAAGAAATAAAATGCTTACTGAACTATCACTGCTATCGCCTGTATCACCTCTGCGAAGGTGCGTGAATTGTGATGATTGATTCGGGGAATTGTTCTCATAGGATATGCCTACATTGGAATGTGTAATATGCCGATAAGCACTTCTGTTCCTAGACCTCTTTTTACCTGAAGTATTACAAGCGTTAGGTGCTTTACAAGAACATGACCGAGAAGTAGATGCGGAAGAAGTGGATGATGATTTGGAGCGATTAGAACCATGTGATTTTCGAGAACGTACAGTGTTAGCATTAGGATGATTTGAAGAGCGGGTTTTAGGAGACCAATTGCTTGATACCTGGTTTCGACACATTTCAAGTCTCCTTCTGGATGAATTTTCATCTGAGTTTGATGAATTTAAACAATGGCCTGATACAGAACTAGTTATTTCATGCTGACGACGAGTTTTATTGGTCATGCCGCCTCTGGAGCAAGATTCACGAGACAAATCATATTGTGAGTATGCACCACCAGATTCATCTTCATCTTGAGAAGATAATGGTGGACTTGAAGGTGTCCTTGGACCACGTGGAAGTCGTGAAAAAGGCTTGTTACAATTTGTTTCTGAATGATCAGATATATCATCATCAGGAGACATATATTTGCTACTTCTTCGGGGGAAAGCTTGGTCATTTGAGACCACTTCTTGTTCTTTTCTAATCTTCTCTTTCACTTTCTGGCTTGTTGAAGATTTAGCTGAATGTTTATTTTTCGGTCGATCGATCAGACACTTTTCTGGAGGGATTGGTCTAAAAAAGAGAAATACATTACCAAAATAATATTAAGAGTTAGTTAAAAGGGTTAATGATTGATTCTCTCTCTCTCTCTTTCCGTTATCTACAAAAGAAATGCATCGTACTATTCAATCAAAAATGATTTCCTTTAATTGCACAGCTTATGATTTTAACTGAATGATGATTCGTAAACGTGGTTAGATTATATCTTTCCTACGCTTTTATTCACTTTACGTAATGATAGACAAAACATATAACCATACAATACATTATTAAATGTACACTGATTAATGGATAACTACAGGACTTCGCACAGAAGTGCATCGATGTAGGCTGCTACATTTTCAAAATCTGTCGAACAGTGAAGACGTGATCAATGTTAACTCCATCCATGTCTGAAACTTGCTTGTTTTTCTTAGGTTTTTTCTTCCCAAATCCCGTTTATTCTTAATAAAACGATGTATCCTGGGACCTTAAATACTACATTAATTAAGCTGACCTCCATTTGATTAGAGAAAAAAGAACGAGAAGCTCAGCTGAGTTACCTCGTATTCTCATACACTAGTGCCACAGTTTGTCTGACCAGTAATTTTATCACCCCCATCATTAAACACCTCTGGAGGAATAACACCAAGTCTTACTGCCTTGTCTTAGATTTACATTACAGACAGTATCTAGTCAGTAAAAACGACCACGAGAAAGCTAGGAGGAAATCGAAAATGACAAGAATTTCAGCACAGAAAGTGTTAAATGCATCTGAGAAACATTCTATAAGGAAAAAAATGCTTAACGGATTAAAACGAGTGAATCTTCAACTTATTGCCTCTTAAAATATTTAGAATTATCCACACTGCCCATTAAACGACCTGGTACGGCTGAGAGTGGGTAGACTTCAGTCTTACCCTCGAAATGCTCCCAAGTGGCCATAGACTCAACCAGTTAAGTCCTATTCGCTGCCAACACACTGTGGGGAAGTTTCTTCCAAATATGAAGGAGTGGATTCCAACGCCTGGCCCTTACAACCAGACTGGTAGGCATGCAAATCTGCCTAGAGTGGCCGGAAAACCCTGATTAAAAACCTATGGATATCACATCTACACGCCACAGATGGCATAAGTTGGCGAATACCACATGGACCTTGTGTATCCGTGTTTCGCCACACGTCGTCAGTTGAATTAAAAAACTCTCTTTCACCTATATATACAAAACCCATCATCCTTAACAATAATGACTGTGGTGACAAAACATCTTCATGTGTGAAAAAGCCTTGGCAAAATCACAATCACACACAAGAAATGCATATTAATAGATAAAGTAGTTGTAAGATGTTAATAATGATAATTCACATACCTACTAACATATTCATGTCCTGTGCTAGTCTGGTACTCAGATCCTGAAGAGCTGTGACTATCAGAATCACATGAATTATTTTGTGCTCGCTGAGATTTTGTATTATTATTATACTGTTTATATACAGAACGATTGCTTCTGATATCACCACCTCTGCTTTTTAAACTTTCATGTTTATTTCGTTGAGATTTCGACTTGGATCTAGATTCAGAGGAGTCTGGTTGTTGAGGTGGGTGAGAGTTTAACTTTAAATTACTGATTTGTTTTTGAAATTCAAGTGGATTAGGTAAATTGAATAAATCACAAAAGGGTGGAGCAAAGTCAACTGGTGGGCATCTAAGCGTACTTAACAAATTTGATGGATTTACAGATGGAAATAAAGATGGACAAAGACCTGACATAATTGCAGCAGCTTCTAAAACATTAGGAATATGAGGTGTTGTAGGGCAACCAGGGAATAATGGGAGATCAGTAGGATTACGAAATTTTGGATGCCTTCTATCAACATCTACTGGTGTGGGCAAAAGTGGTCCACGTTCATGTTCAAACCTATAAAGTGGAAGAAATAGGCAGAGATATTACTAAGTTGAAACAACGGTATATAGCATTTAATTTATCTCTATACAAGTCAACTTACTCAGTCGACGTAGGAAGTAAAGTGTCATTTGGTAAAACTTCCACATGACGTCTTCTACCTTCTTTTACAACACGATTAGAATTTGATATAGAAGCTTTTTGTACTTTCGACTCTGATTCCGAATCATTATGGACTTTCCTCGGCTTTTGTTGATCTGAATTCAAAGTTTCCCGTGAAGTGTCTGCTTCATTTTCACTAGACGACTCTTCTACAACACCTTCATTGTCCTCACTCTCTTCACCATAAGTATCATCATCTTTAGCCTCACCTTCTTCAACGGATTCTGTTTCATTTGCTGACACTACCTCTGTTGTACTGACTTCATTGTTAACCCCGCTGCTAGACTGTTTCGATACATCAGCTACATCACATGTATTTGACGTTGCTATTTTAGAATTATCTTCAATGTGAGCTGATTCCGCTTCTTGTTTGTTTGATACGCTTTCAACAGTTGAGCCTATTTCAACAAATAAAAATACTCATCTAATCAATTTAACAGAAAATTATAAATTATGACACGCAATAGCAGTAACTTGCTTGCCAACAGATTTTTTGAGTATCTCTTAATCTAAAATCAGTAATGTCGCAAAGTTCTAATCTGGAACGATTATATGGTTAGGTAAGTATAACTCTCCTCTTAATAACTCGACGCCACAGATATTTAGGTCGTTCCAGATCATTTTGTTTGGAAAGATTCCAGTAACATGTAAGTTTTACGTTTGTTTCAATGGCATGAATATACTTGTCAACTTCAAAGCGCCGCTCACGTTCAACGGGACTAAGTAAAAAGTAAACAGGTGATACGATCGTAAACCAGTAGTGACTGAGTTACTCAGGACATGATTTACTGATACTCGTAATACTATAAGCCTGAAGTGCAATTAGGAAGGGTCAAAACGAACACGCAAAGAAACTCTATTCCACCTAAGTCCGCTTTAAGTCTAGTAGTGAATAAGATTCCGAATTTAACTAAGACCTCATACAACTGTTGAGCAAAAATGAAATCTAATTGTGAAAACTACGAATAGACTCCCCACACACAATGTACCAAGGTCTAGTGAAACCGTTCGGCTGTTGTGACCTCAAGAGACTAAAATCGATTGTAAGTTCGTGACCTAGACTGAAAAATCATGCCTCCACCTAACCGTTCTTGATCTGTAATCTAAAAGAGTTAATATGATATCAGCAAGAAGTGTAGATTAAACGAAGTAAAAGATTAATATACTTGATGAATTGCGATTATCATTATATACAGAACTTCGACACACAGGTGCTTTTGTGCCCACTTGTAATGGCCCTAGCAAACGCAGTTATTGAGTCTATTTTCTACTGCATGGGTTCAACCCTTTCACAATTACTGGTGATACTAATTAATCGACATTATTGGTTCAATCTACGAAGCATATGATTATCAAATGACAATATAATCTAATGTGATATCCACTTTTATTCATTCTGATTCTGGTAAGCTCCCACAAAATAAGTGAACGTCAACGAATAATCTATATTTTTACTCACAACTTAGATCATAATCACTGAGTGTTCCTGATGTTTAGAAAATGCAGTTAATTATGAAAACAAAGAAGTATATTAGAAACATTTTATTAGCTTAGCTATTGTAAAGCATACTGGATTTATCACTAATACACACACTACTTACTTAATAGAGAAGATTTGTAGCTCAGGTGGATGATTTGCAATTAAAAGTGTTCTCTGAGCTGGTTGGTTTAGTCGCGAAGCTTTCGTCGTCCTTCCGGACAACATCTTCAGCGCCATATTTAGCACAGAGTGAAATGATTTAAATTTCTTCATGCGTGATGTAATTGCGTCTCCTGGTTACTATCTTCACATATGTATTGACCACTTTCTATTGACTAGGATTTTAAACTTTTTGGTCACCTGATTTGCTTTTTATTAATTGGTATATTTCATCTATATTAACGTGTTTGTTAATCGCATCTTCGCTTGAGTACCAGGCTTCTAGGAATTCTCTGGCACTTTTCGTGTTTCCTCTGTTTAAGATTTTGACGTGATCCCAATCAAACTGATGACCATAGTTGTCTGCATGCATTGATACTAACGAATACATATCATGTCTTTTCACGGCTGATTTATGTTCTTGGATTCTGACTCGCAGGGGACGCCCACTTTGGCCGATGTAATGCTTGTTACAGTTCATACAATTTATTTTGTAGATGGTATTAATTTTATCCCCTTTTTCTGTTGGATCTTTTGGTTTGCATAATATCGAATTAAGCGATTTTACTGGTTTGTGTGCTATATTTATATCTAACGGTTTCAGTATTCTGGCTGCTATTTCAGAGATAGTCCTCATGTATGGTAGAATGAATTTTCTTGTGGTCTTTGATGATGGTTTCTTGTTAGTGTTTTGATTCGACTTTAAACACTTTTTGATGAAATTTCGTGGATAACCATTCTTTTTGAAGACCGTTTGTAGGTACTTTTCTTCCATTCTTTTCAGCTCTGGAGTGCTACAATGTGTCTGAACTCTTTTAAACAATGTCTGCACACAGTTTCGTTTGTGAGTAACTGGATTGTTTCTAGTTCCAGTTCAATACTCAAATATATGAACAAATAAAAGGAACACCAATGGGATCGCCCATATCAGGATTAATAGCTGAAGCCGTTATGCAAAGATTAGAATTAATAGCTCTACCTATAATTAAACCGAAAATCTGGATACGTTACGTTGATGATACATTTGTAATAATTAAGAGAAGTGATTTAGAATATACTCATAAATCAATAAACAACATATTCGAAGACGTCAAATTCACGAGAGAAGCAGAATTAGATAACAAAATCCCATTTTTAGATGTCTTAATCAGGAGAACCAACACCGGAGATTTAGAGACACAAGTTTATAGAAAATCAACGCACACAGATCAAATACTCAACTATACTAGCAACAATCCAGTTACTCACAAACGAAACTGTGTGCAGACATTGTTTAAAAGAGTTCAGACACATTGTAGCACTCCAGAGCTGAAAAGAATGGAAGAAAAGTACCTACAAACGGTCTTCAAAAAGAATGGTTATCCACGAAATTTCATCAAAAAGTGTTTAAAGTCGAATCAAAACACTAACAAGAAACCATCATCAAAGACCACAAGAAAATTCATTCTACCATACATGAGGACTATCTCTGAAATAGCAGCCAGAATACTGAAACCGTTAGATATAAATATAGCACACAAACCAGTAAAATCGCTTAATTCGATATTATGCAAACCAAAAGATCCAACAGAAAAAGGGGATAAAATTAATACCATCTACAAAATAAATTGTATGAACTGTAACAAGCATTACATCGGCCAAAGTGGGCGTCCCCTGCGAGTCAGAATCCAAGAACATAAATCAGCCGTGAAAAGACATGATATGTATTCGTTAGTATCAATGCATGCAGACAACTATGGTCATCAGTTTGATTGGGATCACGTCAAAATCTTAAACAGAGGAAACACGAAAAGTGCCAGAGAATTCCTAGAAGCCTGGTACTCAAGCGAAGATGCGATTAACAAACACGTTAATATAGATGAAATATACCAATTAATAAAAAGCAAATCAGGTGACCAAAAAGTTTAAAATCCTAGTCAATAGAAAGTGGTCAATACATATGTGAAGATAGTAACCAGGAGACGCAATTACATCACGCATGAAGAAATTTAAATCATTTCACTCTGTGCTAAATATGGCGCTGAAGATGTTGTCCGGAAGGACGACGAAAGCTTCGCGACTAAACCAACCAGCTCAGAGAACACTTTTAATTGCAAAACTACTTACTTACTTTACTTCGGCTGTCTCCTACGAGAGGATGAGCCGGCTTCATGAACATCTCGAATCATCGCTGCCCAGGCGCGGCGATCTGATGCAAGGTTTTGCGACAGGGTTATCCAATTCTTGTTTCACAGACGGAGTCCATAGACGGTTTGTAGTCCCAGGCACTCCATATCACCCTTGACTGTACCAAGCCATGTTTTCAGCTGTCCACCCCTGCGACATCGCCAAGATGGTAATGGCGAGGGATTTAGAACTGATTTGACCAGATCGTCATCTGGAAGGCGCGGAACATGGCCAAACCATCGAAGGCGACGTTGTTGGACCAGTACTGGAATTTGGTTGATTTTGTAGCAACGACGACGCACTTCTTCGTTGGAGAGTTTGTTCTGCCAACGAACATGCAGAATGTACCTGAGGCACCAATGGTCTACTACCTCGAGTCTGCGTACATCTTCCGCGCGAAGAGGCCAGGTTTCACAGCCATACAGGAGAACGGATCGTATGGAGACTTGGTAAACCCGAATTTTAGTCCTGAGAGTGATTTCCCTCTTGCTCCATAGAACGCTCCTCAGCTGAAGAAACGCATTCGGGGCGTTGGAGATTCTCGCATTCACTTCGTTTTTCGCTTGACCGTTGGGAAGCATTATGGATCCCAGATATCTGAAGGATGGCACAATTTCAATAGGTGCTCCATTCAGGTATATGATTTCATCATTGCTGGTGGATGTGTTCGAAAACATTTTGGTTTTGGAAGTGTTAATTTCCAAACCGATAGTAGACGCGAGGTGGTTTATCTGATCGAGCGCCTGTTGCATATCGGGGAAGTTTTCAGCTAATAACACGACGTCGTCGGCGAATTCGAGGTCGGTTATGTGAATATCGGGCGAAAGTTGGACGCCGTGGTGCTCGGTTGGGGCGTGCCGCAAAATCCAATCAATTGTGAAATTGAACAGGATGGGGGATGCTGGACAACCTTGCCGGACACCGCTGGTTACCTCAAAAGTGTGAGATTCTTCACCGTTCACTCGGACTCGAGCTTTGGTGTTGGAGTAGTATGACCTGAGCAGGTTGATTAGCTTGGTCGGAACTCCGTCGAGCTCCATTAGATACCAGAGTGCTCCTCGATCAACTGAGTCGAATGCCGCTCGGAAGTCGATGAAACAAGCAACCGTCGGCTGTTGGAATTTGTCCCTGTGTTCCAAAATTGTTCGCAGTGTGAATAATTGATCAATACAGCCTCTTCCAGGTCGAAATCCGGCTTGATTTGGCCTTGTTCGCACGTGGCGTTCGGCAGCGAAGCGGTTCAGGAGAATAGTAACAAACACCTTAGCAGCGATATCAATCAGACTTATGCCTCGGTAGTTCTCACATACTGATCTGTCTCCCTTTTTGTGGAACGGTAGCAAAACTGAGGTGCTCCAATCGGAAGGAATGGTTTCGGAATCCCAAATTGAGCAGAACAGCGAGTGCAGCGAATCGATTAGCGCTGGAGTGCAGGCCTTGTATATTTCTGGAGGTAGACCATCTTCGCCCGGAGCTTTTTTGTTTCTGAGTCTGTTAATTGTTTTAGCTATTTCGGTTGGAGTGGGTGGATCGCAGTCAACTACGTAGGGTGTTGGTAAGTGTCGTATCAGTCGATGAGACGGTTGACCAGCGTTGCGATTGAGTAGCTGCTTGAAATGTTCGGCCCATCGTACCATCTTACCATTGGTGTCCGAAATAATTTCTCCTGATGCTGTGCGTAACACAGCATGGCTGTTAAGGCGTTTGCCAGATGATAGGCATATGAGGCGATAAAGTTTTCCGAAATCGCCTACATTTGATGCTCCTTCCATGTTAGTCGCCACATTAGACCAATAGCGATTTCTGTCATTCCTAGAAGACTGTGTAGCTTTGCGCCTGAGGGAGCGATAAACTGGAGACTTTGCTAGGCGAGCGTCTCTGGCTTGCGAGGATAGATGCATAGTGTGCTCTGAAATCCAGTCTTTCTGTTTGTTGGATGTGGTACCCAAATGCGACATTGAAGCTTTAGAGACTACTTCTTTGAAATGATTCCATCGTGTCTCAGGTGTATTAGAAGATGTGGATGTTGGCTCATCTGCGGCGCTTAGTTCGGCCTGGATTTGTTTGGACAAGGCTTGTTGCTTTATCGAACATTGAAGCGGGGCAACATTGATACGCTTTGGAGGTCGCGCTTTCTGGCGTGTTGTTAAACGAAGTTTGAATTTCGCCCTAACTAGAGTATGGTCTGATCCCCCTTTATTTCCGGCCTCTGCGCCACGATAGGATTGGCAGTCCTCCACCGAGGAGATCCAGCGTGAGCGCACTAGGATGTAGTCAATCTGATGTGCAGTGCGACCGTCGTTCGAATACCAGGTGAGAAGATGTTTTCTAGGGTGTTGAAATCGAGTGTTGGTGATATATAATCGATTGTAATCAGAAAAAGCTAAAAGTCTATCACCATTACGGCAGTGCTGATCGAGACCGTGTTTGCCTAGTATATGTTTTGTCGCGTCGTCTGAAGGGCCAGTGCGGGCATTCCAATCGCCGGCTACTATGAGAACGACACGCTTTGGGATTTTGTTGATTGCCTCTTGAAGATTGTCATAAAATTCGTCTTTGATACTTTCATCAGAGTCGAGGGTTGGGGCATAGACAGCGAGAACAGAAATGTCGAGTGGGGAACCCTTGAACCTAGCGATTGCAACTCTGGAGTTGACCGGTTCGAACGATATTAGGGCATTATTGGCTTTGTTACTGAGAGCAAATGCTACCCCATGTTGTCCCGAATTATTCTGGGGTCCACTATGAAGCAACCAGAATGAAGAATCTGTTCCAGGTACAGCTATTCGGCGGGAGCCATGATCGGGTAACCTCACTTCAGACAGACACGCTATGTCCACCTTGTAGTCGTATAAAGAACGCATGGTGATAGACTGGCTACCAGGATCCAACAGTGTCCTAACATTCCAGCAGCCAACAAATAGTTGGTTTCTAAGTGTTAATTTCCCAGCTGGCTTACTTTTCACACTGGCCACCGGGTGAGCACAGGGCGCGTCGCTTACCGGGAACGCCGTAGCATGGTGAGAGTCGTTTGTAAGAGAGTTCATGAAGTTTCATGGGAATTTGGTACGAGTGAAGTCCCCAGAATCGCTCGGCCTTTTGTTCGAGAGTGCAGCTCTAGCCTTTACACAACCAAGTGTGACCTACAAGGCAGTAGGAGTGGAGTAGGGAGTCCACTATCCATTGGCAGCCGGTGACCGGAGTTCGGTTCATACGCCTTTTTGAATGGGGCCAGACATCCAGGACATCCAACAAGCCCTTTGTCCATACGTCTGCCGGTGAGCTCCAGTGAGCTTCATACGCCAGTCGTTGGAGGTTTGGAATCAGGGTTTAGCCATCTCCCCTAGACTGTCATCCAATGGACAGTCAACCCAGTGAAGAGCGCCGGGCATCCGCACACACACACTAGCTAACTGATAGAAGACTGGAACAAAACTTGAAACATCACAAAAATGGTAACAGTTTAAGCTGCTGTGTCGTAACAATTGGACGTCATTACAACACTATGTAATTTTACATCGATCAACAGTAACTGGATATGGGGCATAACATTTTACCAGTTATATTTAATGGATTCCGAAGTGATTTTTACTTATTTATTATTTAACCTTTTGATGAGTAAACCACTAAAAAACGGCTTGTGGGGAGTTATTAAGCATGACTTTCAGTCATACCAAGTTTGAATGTCACTTCATCTACTTTGGAGAAAAAAAAATAATGCCTTTATCATTAACCTTAGAAGGGCTCATAATCTGCTGCAAGGAACTACACCGGATAACCTAGTTGAACTTGAAGTTACTTGTTTGGTTGTGGCTGCTGGAAGAATCCAGGACGGACGCTTCACCTTACTATTTGGGACTCGTTAGTTGATTGTACTTACCTCCTCCCCAGTAAGCGATGGTTCCCATTGAGACATAAACTCAATATCCATCACTTCAAGCATTAAAGAGTTATCTACTGGACCAATGCATTCATACATATCAACGGGTAATCGTAAAAATAAATAATTCATGATCACTGTTTAAACCGGAAAACAAGAAGAAACTTACGTCTGCGAACCACACGTCTAGATGACGATTCACGTTGGTCTGTATCGTTCTCACTTTCAGAGTTATTATCATCACAAAACTGCTCATTATCAGCGCGTTCCGGATCACTGTCTTTCCCTTCTTCACCAGAATTATATTCTGATTTTTTTACTTTGACAGGTGATTCACCACCTTTTTTAACTCTCTTTCCCTTGGGTAATGCATTTTTTACAGAGGAATGAGAAGAATCATTTGTCTTATTAGATCGAAAAGTCCGTGAATTCGAGTCCCGTCGTTGTTCCGGTGAGTGAGAGGAAACATTCGATGATCCATGCCTATGATACCTCTTAAACCGTCTCCCATGTAAATCCGCATGATGGTCGTATTTAGGGAAATCGTAAGCGCTACCACCAGCAGATAGTACTGATCTCAGGGAGACCAAATCCGGCGGGATGCTGGAATTGTTAGAAGCAGCTGCTGCTGCAACTGCAGGTAGTAAATCAGCATTGGGATAACTAAAGAAATAAAAACAGTAGGAATTCGTCAAAATATGTCTAAAATGAAGTCGTAATATCTAGATGTTCCCTGCCATACAATAATTTGAAGTACTGGAAAGATGTTATTCCCAGAAGAGAGAAAATATTGCAGAGTACGGATTAAATTACACGAATAAAGCATATTTTGATAACTAACAATTTCGTAAATAAGGTACCAGAAATCCACCAACAAATATTTTCAGACACTTCCTTTCATAGGACGACATAAAGGCCAGAATAGTCTATCGAAAACGTCATCATAATGTAGCAAGAGGTTAGAAATACAACTTTGTCTTACTACATTACTTTCAAATTCACAATTACAATGGACACACCCGTGAGCCTTGCTGGCATACTCTACCTAAAAACTTTACACTAAACTTCATCATTTTGCATTATCATGCTTAGACGCTTACGATAACAGTCGAATGAAACCATTAAAAAGAAGTAAGCAACGAAACTACTGGAAAAGCATGAGCTATTCTTCTTGACCAGAAACCTGCATTTACATCTGTACTTAATAAAATGAACTTATATGACTACCATAAAACGACGGTGATTACATGATTCGTGAAGTTTGCCTATGTACTTAATTTCCTTAAAACCGAAAACACTACAATCTACGAAGTATTTAATTCAGACATACAACTTAGAATAATATGAAAAGTAAAAGATTTGCTTTTATTATAATACCGCTAACCATAAAGACTCCACAACAAGTGCATAACACCTGTAGAAGTATTTATTAAAGATTTGGTTAAGACAAAAGAACTATGTTGAATAGGTTATACCAACCAGAATACACACGGTAAAGTTACTGTTAGTGTAGTTTGTAAAACTACGATAAGTTTGGTTACTAGGTTGGGTCTTAAAGTTACCTCATATTTGTCTGTGATTGATTATTAGCATTCAATATGGTCGCAAGCGCATGGAATAGGAAATAAAACATGGCAGGACAAATTTTCCAGGCGAGTTTTGCCACTATTCAAAATAAAGACTCATTTATAAAGTTAGTCATGAGCTCTCCACAATGTTAACCTTACATCTTCCCAGTTTAGACACCGAAATCCCTTATTGATAACATGAAAATAGACCGAAGACTGTACCTGTTTAAAACACTGGGAAGGTCCTGTGCTTTTATTCGTTTACTGTCGGCATAATAGCTTACTACTTCCATTTCGAAAAAACAATAACTTACTTTGATAAAGATAGAGCTGTAGCTGTATATGTTCTGTAATACTGTTGGTACATATGATTATAATACATCATTAAAAGTTGTTCATTATTCAAATCGGCGTTGGCATTATTTACATCTATCTTGAAATTTTTATATTTGTTGAACGTGGCTGTTTGATTAGAATCATGTCCATGAAACCGATTACTAAAACCATGTGGTCGAATATTAGCAACACGAGCCATTGAAGAATTTCTAGACAAATTAGTTACTTTACGAGGAATATTTCTGTTTATCCCTGAATGCCATTCTTCATCAGAATTATGATCCTCTGTACTAGGATATCCATAATTGGAACTAGACTTCCTAATTCGCTTATGTTCTCCAGATTGATAATTGACTACATTACTGTTACCGCGAGAATACCTTCTTTTGATTCCAAGTCTTAATGAAGAATCATGCTCTGTATCTCGCACATGAGGCCGCCGCACATCATTTCTCCCTACATTGGTAGAGTCATTATAACATTTTCGCAGTTGTAATTTGTGTCGTGCATCAGAAGGGAGTAGAGGGACGTGCGAACTTGATGAGTAAGGCATAAGACAAAATTCTGGAAATCTGAAAAATAAAACCTCTTATAAATCTATACAGAAAATACAATCAAAAAACTACTTGTGATGTTCAAATATCTAGAAGTGAAATAGATGGTCACTTAAACAAAGATGCTTAGCAACACGAGCTAATGAGGTAAAAACCACTAACGGATGCTAGCTAACATAAAGGATATTGATTATTATGAAGTTCTGAGTTTTGAGACCCCCATAAACGAGCTGCTATGGTCGAGAGTGAACAAACTTCGGTTTTTTCTAAACGTTATCAGGTGTCGACGCGTTTACAGCCTCGGCCAGGTAAGTCCTATTCACTTCCTCAATGTGGTAGGGGTGTTCCTCACGAGAGCGAAAGAGAGGATGCGAACGTCTGACTATTACAACCGGAATGGTATACTTGCAGGTCTACCTAGAGGAGTTGGGAAACCCTAATTCCAAACCTGTTGTGTACATGGGCTACAAAACCCGAATGTATCCATTTTAGTCACCGTCAACCATGGGAACGCAGTTACACTGCCTTGTGGATCAGACCAAGTCAAAGGCTCGGGAGGTGGCCCATAAAACAACCTACTTCGGTATGTGTGACCAGGCAGTATCCCAGTTCTCGTACAAACTATGATTGTGCCGCATCTCTCGGTCCCTATAATGTTCCAAGTTTGTTTTTTTGGTCCTTTAATAACGATACTAATGAGAGCCGATTTGAATATAATGGTCCGCACACATTAAATAATCATTCGTCACTAAGGTTTCCTACATCTTTGTTAATAAAAACAACTTCATTTAAACCACTTCCTTTCGCCTTCAGTCTTAAAAACAAATACTCCTTCACCACGTTTGGCGACTTAAATCAGACATTACTGAGTCGGCCACAAAAAGTGGCTGAAGTGGTGGATTGCCTTAGTTTTAGAGCAAAACCCACGTCAATAGACATAATAATGGTAAGGATCCATTGAAGACTGGTGTCACGTGGAATACAGAAAATGGATGCTATTACGATTAGCTGGGAAATAATGAACCCCCAATTTGGATACTTCAAATATATATACCGATAGTGCCACAAGCGGTGCTCGTCTATTCCCAATTTCATGTTTTACATAGGTCTATTGAACATTAAGCTTATATATTCTGAGAAACCCGACCCCTTTTCAGTGAATACACAGTCGACATGCACACCAACATTACAACACAAACCACCGGATTAAAATAATTCAACGTGTCAGAGGCTAAGGAAACGTCCCAGTTTACATTTGAGACTATAGCTTCACTCTTTAGATTTTTAAACGAGGAAGACTGTATTTAATTACTTTTGGTAGATAAATGGAAAGCACTTTACAATAACGAACTGTTCATACTGTTATGATTTCAACAGCACATGGCACAATACTCTGTGCAGAACATTGTGAATCCAGCTGTAAAGTTCAACATATTAAACCTTGACAATATAATGGTAATCCTGTGAACCTTACTGAGACTACTTGAGCGCTGAGATGGACTTCATGAGAAACTTTGTGAGCAAAATATTTCGAATCGGTTACAAAAAACGACTTATACTGTAGTAACAAATCAATTTAAAAATCATGTGCAAGTTTACTGGGCCATCAATCTTTAGTATGAAACACTGAGAATTTCAGTAGCTAGAACATCGCCGCCTACGCTGATTACATATGTCTAGTTTAACGGAACTCTAGCCAATCTATGCAGGTGCTAATAAACCTGAATTCATTCACAGATTAAGTATAAGGGTGTTTAAAATAAGAATTTTGGGAGTATGCCACGAATGCACATAGGGAACAATTAGTTTGGCTTAGCAAATCATTTTAAAATTGTCTGGAAAGCACCACTCTTCACATAAACTCTTAGTAAAAAAACATTCTGACGAACAAATTTAGAGTGAAACGAGATATGGGAGTGTAATTTGTTCAACTGGACTAGGTATCGGTTGATTAACAAGTCAGTGGTAATTCTGAATAACCACATACAGCACGCTGTAGAGCTCAATTACAATTATAAATATCGTGAAAGGCGTGAATTACTATTACTATTGCAGTGTTATAATTTAATTCTAACAATCCCTACTCATTCTAACTAGAATTTTCGTGGTTCCGCAAAGAATTAAGCTACAAAGTATGTCGGGCTTTAATTTTAAAATGCCCTACACAACTAGATACTACGAAAGTTAGGAAAACTGGAACCACTTAAAACTACTCACATTCATGTGGTTCACAAACGCCGGCTGATTATGTTCCGCATCCGGACCATAGGAGAAAAACAAGGTGACTCAAAACTCGATGAATTATATATATTATGGAAAGTTTCTAAAAATATTTAACATTCACTCAATGGTGACTTATTTTATAAAGCTCCGTCTGCTTGTTCAATGTTCAAACGATGCTAGCATATAAACTAACTTTGAATTATACAGGCAATTCAACTGATAACTGGGGATAACTTATAAAATGATCAAGTCAACCAATGGAAGAAGTTATTTGCTCAATTTGTTTCACGTATGAGCATGACGAGCAGCCAAAAACCCAATGTACTAACAGTCCATCTGAACAATAATATAGGATAACTTCAATCCTAAGACCACTTGCCTGACTTAGATGCGTGCAGCATATCTCAGTTTAAAGGTGTGTGTTGCAAAATTAAAGATTGCAGGCAGTTTATTTGCGAACTTCTCAGATGAACATATCTGATTGAGGCATTTAGTGACAATGGAGCTGCTATGATGCCACCACTCTTACATTTCGTAATAACACTAAGGGTGAAATAGGAACGCCAAGTTGGATACAGATGCGCTGATCACGAATACCGCTTGACTACATCAACATCATACGATGGCTACCAGTTTCCCAACCTGCTCTTCTTCAGTGAGAACCCACAGGGTGAGTCGTGAAGTACATTTTAGTATCAGCCACAGTACATTTTACACAACCTAAGATTCGAAAGATCACAAAGGACATGTCACCTAACCCATAATCACGGTAAACAGAGAGAATACATACCTATTCAGTAAAAGTATACACTGATGTTTCAGTCCGTATGCCAAGAGCCATTGGGATGGCGTTCCTAAATACATCACCAAAACCTTATGTAAGACTTAAGGTGGACTGGTTGGTCGACGAATAATGACGAATCAAAGACTCGTGACTTTATTATCGAGACTGAAGGTATAGTACGTAACAGACATCTGGTTCTACTCATTTCCTATATTCAATGTCTTGAAGTGGTGACAACCTTTCATCTGCTGTTGCTGCAGGACAACTCGATATAACCTAGTATAATCCTCCTTAGTGACAGGTTAGAAATGTAGCGACCCTATATTAAGCTTAAGTGAATGCTCGCGAAACCGATTCATGTAAGCATGTTATAGCTTATAGAAACTAATTTTACGTATCCTTGTGGAATATTAGCCACTGTATTATTGAACATTACTTTTCTTTGTTACGCGGCTATACACTTCTCGTTCGTTTTCGCGTTTTTCGAAATTCGCTCCCATTTACATTACATCTATTCAAGTTTTCACTCGTGCTTCTTAATACAGAGTTGTTCGTCTTTATGAGGTTATTCTGCATCTAAATAACAACAGTATAATGGCTGATCATAAAATGACTTTTTTCTTCTGTTTGCCTTGTAGTAGAAGTTGTATAGATCTACATTTAGATTGAAGCTGAGAAACAATTGAAATCACTTACTCATATATCATCCTTCAAGATTTGGCTAGTAATGACTCAGAATCCTCGGAATATCCACTGTTACCATAACAAGACGCTGAACAGCATTCTATACAAGCACTGTCAATGATCTAAAATGGCTTACATATAGCTTTCTACTTACTCTTACTGACCAACCATGCAGTGACAAATGGCGGGCTTTGGCTAACGTGTGTGCAGTGAAACAAATCTGCCCGACAATAACCAATATTACTGTGCATTCAGTTTAGTTCTTATCTGGTGTTACATACGATATAAATGCTGACAAAATCATGAAAATAAATCACTCATTTCAAATTATTACTCAATTTAAATATAAGTCAAGAACAAGAAATGATGCCGCACACATCAAAGTTATATGGAGAAATTGACTTCAAGCACTATTTTTTCCCAAATATCTGTAACCCATATAACACATACCTGGCTTTTTGTTAATGTGAAGACAATATTTGGTAGAAATTAAACATCACGTACAAGGTCATTGGTGGAGTGAGACGCTCAAAGTTCATTTTCGTCCATGTTAGTCGGCCATGTTGGATTGCAGTTCCGTAGCTGTTCGTTTTCACGTTTGTTTTTTCATTTATCCAGCAGTTATTCACAACTTATCTTGATGCACATTGTTTACAAATGTTGCGTTTTACTTCATTATTGTTTCCGTTTCTGTTAAAATTAGTTATGTCGTTTTTTTCGAAAGTTTTTATCACCAGGTCAGTGCATTCATGTCATTGTAATTGTTTCATACTTTGCATTCATGCATGGCTTCAGTGTTTTATTTGTTTTTCAGATATTAATGAATTAGTACTGTATAGAAATTTTGGAGGTTATGCATGTGAACATGTTTGGGAGGCAGAAGCCATTGTTTCCAGTTCATTTTCGGTTGCCGTTATTGTTGCTTGCTCAATTGGTTACTTAATATGTAGGAATCTGGAAAAATGTCTTTCACGTTCATGTTTGTAGCATGCAACAATCTACGAGTGAATCTGGTGAAGAGAGCACGATCAGGGTTGATATTAGCAGTTTTCGCAGAACAAATTAAAACTAGAGAATTTAGAACCTGGTTTGGAGTTTAAAAAGCTTTGAAGCTTTTCGACAAAGTATCTGTTGTCAGCTAATAAATCAGATATATTGTGAGAGAATCAAAATCAAGCAAGAATGAGCCACATGTGAAGTATGTGTGTCGTGTCTGTATAAACTTTTGGAAGCAAAATTAGGAAGCAATAGGAAATCCCTAAATGGTTGTTAATGACTAGTGTACTAGATCCAAACGCACGAACTAGGACTGCCTGTAGTAAATGCGGTGTTAACAACCACTTTATTTGTTTCAAAACTATTTGAAAAGCGGATAACATACGATGATCTGATGAGTGTTCGGTAAGAATTTAACTAGCAAGAATAACGTTTCGGATTTCGGTCTACAATCAGTGGTTTTCTCGAAGCTACAACAAGCTGAAAAAATTGGCTGATTACAAATTGCTTGTTTCAGTTCAAATAATGAAATTCCTATTTTTCGGATGCTTGTGATTTCTCCGTGGCTATAAACACGGTTACCCATGATATATAAGAAAACTTTAAATAAATTTTCCTTGAACCAGTGGTCTTTTTTTTCTTGGCGAAGCATCTATTGAGACGATTAGGTAGCAAAGTAGAATGTTTTGTGATTGAGAATCGTAGTCGTTGAGTTTCGGATTTATATCGCGCATCTAATTGCTATAACCCTATGGATAAAGCTTTTTCCTCATGGTGCATTATGATATCTAGAAACCATAAGCACACTGCCTTCGGTAAATTTATTTTTACTTTCTAAGTGACTGCAAATAGTGAGTCATTTGAGGCGATAGGATAAATACCTCTGAACGCTTTCGTGAAGAGATTAGGATATGTTTATCTTTTCGACTAGGAGACGATCTTTTTACCCAGAAAGCTCTCAGGATGTCCGCTTTTACTTTGTAGTTCAAAGATAACGTTGAGTTGCTCACTTAGGTAGTAGCAACTGGAGATTACCTCCAGGGGGAACTACTTTAAGGTAGCTTTATATAATGCGTCATAGAAGTAAGCAGTGTAGGTTAATTGTGTCTAAATATATTAAACGTTGTAAAACTGGTCAAATCGTAGTTCTCACATATGAGTTAGTTTTTTAAATAATGAGTGTACCGCACTAGCGTTTACCTTGATTTGCATACCTAGCTCATAAACATTATGCATGCCTGTGGTGTACATTTAAGGCTATGAAGCTGTGTGATGAATTGGTCCGAGATACTTAACGTCAGACTTGTTTTCTGTACCACTCTCATGTTCCATGAGACGACTTAGGTACAAGTACAACGGCTGGCACAACATTTCTGGAAAAAGATTCATTAAATATGTGAGAGGATAACACAGGATATCTGCACATTTTTTAAGAGTAAGGCTAGGCAAACAATCTGGAACTAGGCTACAAGAAGGGTTCAACGACTGGAGATATTTTAGAACGTCATTTGTATTGAAACCAAGGAAGCAACTCTTATTAATACTTGTGACACCAGAAACCTTGGCATTTGTGGGAGAATGTATGAATGCCTTGTTTACCGTACACACATCAAATGAATAGGAAATACTGTTGTAATACTGGAGGTAATTAAATGCATAAAGGCGTGAGTTATTTAATATTCATAAAGTAGATATGCAAACACCGCAGTTATTGATCATAGAAATGATGGATATTAGATAACATCACATGATTCAACGGCATATTAGAAATAGATGAAAATTGCTTCTTTGCTCACTGTCAAGTGAACAGTCTATTTGATGATGTCACTGCATATTTACAGATTAGTGAAGTAGCTACCAAGCCTAAGTTATTACATTGACTTGTACTTCATACTTGGCGTTCAACAGCATACAGACTTGCAACTGGCTAGATAAGGCGATTTTAGCGTATCGAACAGTACAGAATTATTATTCAACTTGCTAAATCCTACTTAGTTTTTACAATGTGCTACTGTATAGAAAGACACGAAATCTTGAGAAGAGCTAAAGTAACAGCCTCATAATACTATAGTAAATCTCCATCCCTCTAACTAAGCTTAACATGCATTGATCCGAATTCACTTTTTACAAAAGCACATAGTATAGCGACGCGCTGAAAAAGTCTAGAGGAAGTAGAATTGAAGAGTATATTAAACATTTCATTAATTTACAAAAGAAAATCCCGATGAAGAGTATAAAACGTTAATTTGACCGAATGATATTTCCGCTGGTTTCATATTTGACAACCTCCGTATACCTGAAGAAAATAAAGCACATGTAAGGACTAGCACAACATGAATTTATGAAAGATAATTCAACATATTAGCACACACTATGAATACACTGATTCTGTTAATACTAAGTAATACCTCATGCAAATAAATGTATTTGTAGTCCACAGCTGGTTTTTATATTGACACTATAAGCATCAATAGACCTTATATGTTTACCAGTATTAAAGGATTAAAAATATCAAAACAATCTTTGAAACTTCCAT